CGCCCTCTGATACGCTCAGGGTATGGCCAGGGGGCATCCAGTTCACGTATTTTTGGATTGCATATGGGCCCTCATCATGGTGGATAGTATGTTTGCGGATGGTGATTCAGCTGAGTTGTGTAAGGTAATGGTACCCTTGTTGAATGCATTCTTACACATCAGTTTTGGTTGAGTCCCTAGTCACATAGGCATTGATGGCAATGAGATGGTCAACCTGAAGGCTAAGGCCTATATCGGATGCCTCTTGTGCACCCTACTTTGGGAAGGTATGAGTTTCGGGATTGATCATGCAGTCCTGGCTTGTAAGATTTGTAAGGAGGAATGGGGAAGCTGGCATGTTAGGGAAGGACATGATTATTATACCCAAGAACCGAAAGCACCCTGACACCTCTGAGGCCTCACCCCGATGGATTCATCTGTTTTAATAAGGATCCGTAGTGGGATGGGCATAGTCAGCCATGACAGCTGTGGAGGGAAGGAAGACAGACACCACTGGACTCAATATCCCCACTATGCTAGAGGCCATCCTTCTGATGAAGACTTGTATAAGGACTCGGCAGTCTCAAGGTGGAAATGATAGTGGGTTGATCATCAGTGGTTGGACCTTGGAATCTCTCATCATGTTGGGGTCGCGAATGGGGAGTTAGTTGTGGCAGGTAACCCCTTTGATGGCACACGGATAGTGGAGAGAAATGGTGGGACAGTATCGATAAGGGATCCTACAACTTGCACCCAGTGTGTGAGAAGATACAACTGTAGTCGCTGCCTCTTGCCAGGTGAGGTGACACTGCCAAAGAAGTAGTTCTTTTTACCTAACCAGTGTCAGTAGGAGTATTCCTGCTGTGGTACTGCCATTTCCACTGTGGCCATCAAGAAACACGCCATATTCATGGAGCACTTCAAGAGATGGCCCTGATGTTTACAGATATGTCACAATCAATTTTGACATTCTCAGCACCAGCAGTGGGACAAGCTGAACTTGGCAATATGGACATCAGTGGTTTTGAGGTAGGCTAAGGTAAACGGGTTGCTGAAAGAGCCCTGTTGCCCCTTTTGTGGATTGCTATTGGCAGAGGGCAATTTGGATCTCGAGTTGCATTATAAGAGAACAGAGGGATGTTGGGATAGACTGTATATTTCTTTTATCGAGTTTGTAGGACAAATTGTGTTGAAGGCAGATAGGAGTGAGGGTATGAGATAGTGGCTAGGTAGCAGGGTAGGAAGACATGTTAATCTAGGGCGGCACTAGTTACTGTGAGCGCCCGTTAGCCCACATGAGTAGTGATTTTTGGATTTACATTTGGGAGGAGTGGTTTTGGGGCGGAATGAGTCCGTGGTAGTGTGTATTTTAGATAGTTTGTTTTATGGAGCGTGGGGGGAGACTAGTCATATGTCAGTGTTGGTGGTACTAGTATAAATAAAATTAGATTGAATTCAAAGTACTTTTTCTACTTATTACTTTAACGAATATAAAACACCTTTATGCTCTTTATCATTACTACCCTCTTTATTGCTACTATGATAAGAATACTCTTCAAAAAGAAGAGTTAGAGAAAGCTTACAATAGGCATTCCTGATAGAAGACAAAGGTCTTGTACTATCGGTAATGTAGGCAGAATCCTAGTGCTATCGTAAGGTGAGAAGAAGAAAGAAAAAAAGAAGTATCATTCCCCATTGCCAAGAACTAACCATCCGAAGGGGGATCATTACACTGTTTCTGATGGAGGTTAAGGCTGGTTGGAAGAAGATAGTAAATTTGAGAAAGCATTACAAGAAGATAATGAAGGCATTGTGTATAGAGATTAGGAGGAAAGGGCGTAAAAGGTGCTGTGTGAGATAAATAATAACAGTTTTATAGCCAAATAAAAATTATGATATTCAAAAATTATTGTTGAGTATGAAATTATTGTTGAGCTGTCGGGCACTCCTCGGGAGTGCCCAAGGTTTGTAAGCGTGCGAGCAACCGGGGGTTGTGGCTGGTGAGCCACAACCTTGGCACGTGTAGTACCACGGTAGAGTTGCCGAGTAATCTCTGCTCTAGTCAACAGCTCAATTGCTTAATGAACCCATATCAAAATATTACGTCGTAGTCAATGACAAAACCTATGCATATTCGGAAGTCATATTACAACAAGGTTGTCGTGCAGGGCACTGAGTGATGGTCGATGACGCCTAAACTCGTTCCGCTCCTTGGGGGAGGGGGATATATTGACGGGGGGGGGACGATATCGTTCCTGCCCTGCATGAGCGAGCGACGAGATCTGACATGCAAGCAGTGTTTAAGAAAAGGTTGTGAGTTTATCTTGAGCGCTGGTATAATACCTGAAAGGATTACTCTGCTTCTCTCATATCATACCTCGGGTATGATGATACAGGCACCAGAGTGTTCAATTGTCTTGGCGAGCAACGGCGACAAAAATATTGAGGTTAGATGTGTGGACTACGGTATCCATCGTCGGCGATGGGAGGGGAAATTCCAGTAACGGTTCTGGGGTCTACAGGTTCTGGATATCGTGCTGGGTTTATTCTATGCCGTATCGAGAGCATGTGCAGCGATCGTTCACGAGCATCTCCTGCATTGGAAGTACCGGTACTGTACCATCCCCATGAAACACTTTTTGGTTCACTAACAGGATGAACTTGGCGCGTTCAAATCCCTAGCTACACAGTAGTTGCTGAGAGATAAACCGGGGGGTTGGGCACATTGCCGGATCGGCGCTCCCATGGGGACTTTTCCCTGATCTATTCCGTCCTCGGCTCCGGTACCGTCGAATCGATCGATGTATGGTATAGGACCCTTTTTGCGAAAATCTCTCACGGTGACGGTGGGGAGGAGCGCAGGAAGTCCCACGTAACATGATGCAGAATGCGGATCCCCTCCTCCTCCGCCTCTTCCCCCTCCTAGACCCTTAATGTTACTCTGAACCGCGGAGTGAGAGTAGGGAGGAGAGTACAGTAGGAGCACGGGGTTTTACGATCACAAGGGACGACATAAATGATTAGGAATCTCTCACCTTTTTTTTCTGTTTTGCTTTTCCGTTCTGTGGTGGTGTGTGCCTGTGTCTGTGTTTCTGTGTCTCTCTCCACAAGGCTGCAAGTACTAACTATCATGCTGTGCTCGTACAATACTGTACAGAATCGAAGTGCAATTATCAGCTGAATATTGTATTTTGGGATTCCTCCCCGAGACTCTTTTAATATAATCCACACATACGCACATACCACCCACGCCCCCCCCTCCTCTCCTCCACTCGCTGCTGCCCCGCTCTATTGGCATTCCCCCGGCAGTTTTTTTGGTGGACTATTACTTCGGAGCTCTAAGCATTCCTGAAAACGAAAGAGGTTCGGTTCAACCTGTGGGATGAAACATTGCTTCTGATCCGATCCCATCATCATCTCAACATCGAACGCGCTATCTACTGTCAACCCCGCCCGGGACTTGACAGCGACAGACATCGTAAAGTATATATTCCCCTCCGTTCGCACTCTCGTGCGCGAAACTATCCTTACGCTCGAGTTACAGAATAAAAACGAGAAGGACCCTTCAAACCTCCCTCCTCCCCCCCGCGAAGGATACAAATAACGGTGGATAAATAGATAAATAAATAAAAGCTCTATCTATTGCGCACATACCCCAAATAACACAAACGGGAAATAAACGAATTAAATGCCGCACTCCCACAATTACCCCGCCAACCAACACCCCGACAACCAAAACCCGATCCCGACCCCATCACGCCGCCACCACCGCTGGCAACGGCAGACCACAAACCTCGCGCCCCAAAAGCGTGCTACTAGGTCCCTAGAATCATGGCTCCTCTCCGACCTCGGCCGTCTCAGCATGACCACCGCCGTCCCCAACCCTACCCGACCACCCCCCAACAACGACAGCGACGGCGCAAGGTCGAGAACCCCACCGAGAACCTGCTATACCCATACCCATTACACCTCTTCCTCACCTTCATGCGAACATTCGTGCTCGTCGTCTTTGGCTTCCGCATCCTCCTCCCTCCCGCGATCACGAGGCCGGACGCCGTCCACTTCTAGCAGTGGCAGCAGCAGCAGCAGCATCAGCAGTGGTGGTGGTGCTCGGGGAGAACGCGCGGAGGATGGTGATGGATTACCAACGTACGGATCCACCATGGAATTACGAGGACGGGAGAATGAAGCGTTGTGCGCACCACGACGATGACGGGGAGTGGTGGTGGTGCAGATGCTTCGGGAAATTGAAAGTGGGAGCGATAGTGATGATGACGACGACGGGTTGGAGAGGGAGAGGGGGGGAGGAAGAATATGTTTAGGAGGTAATGTTTATTGTCTATTATTATTTATTGATTTCTGTCTCACCATCTATATCGTTTTGGCTTTCGCCTATTTGTTTGTCTTGTTTTTGAACCTCGTTAGTCCCCCCCTCCCCGTTACCTTGTATCGCTACGGAGGGAGGGAGGGCGTTGGCGACGTTCATTTTCATTTTCAATGGGTTCACAGGAGTTTACGGCGTACCATACACCAACGGTCGGTGTCAGTGTTAGTGGCTACTATCCATTTTTCCTTCATTTTCCTTATTTTTCTCGGGCGTTAGGGCTAGATGGATTGATGGATCGTCTGGTGTAGACTTAGACTTAGACTTGGGCTTGATCTAGGTGTTCGAGTGAGTTTGCATGATTGGGCGGCGTTGGTTGGTGAACCGGTTGGAGTTTTATTTATTTCCTGGGTGTATCATATATTGGTAAATAAAATTTGGGTTTGGTATGGTGTGATACATGGATGGGCGAATGGATGGTTGAATTGGTGTTTAAATGTTGGGTTCTCATGTTTGGAGAAAGGGGACCTTGAGTACCGTAAATGGTGGGCGGGGAGCAGGATCGATATCACCAAGCGAGCCAACCAGCACGGGGAATCCCCGGTATAGCGACGTACAGTACAAGCGAGTACCGTAAATGAATGGGTGGACAAGATGATTTGAATAACCGCAGGCAAAAAGCAATGAATGGGGTAGGTAAGTGGGTAGAAAATATCATGTGAAAAAAGCCGGACGGAATCGTGGTAACGTAAGTACCATGAATTAGGATACATGACTTGGGGGGGAGAAATTGGGGGATATGAAAGAAAATGAACGAATGAATGAAAGATAGAGTAGACTGAATGGATGGATGGAGAGAGTTTTTGTCTTGTTGGTCAATTAATCAATACCGATACGCCACTGGTCCGGGGGTCTGCAACATTGTATCCTCGTTAACACTTGCTTCTTTTTTTATATATAAAAAAAAAACATGGGACAAGATATAGTAAAGCATAGTACATACCGCAGGGCTAACTGGACTATCCGGTACCATCTCCCTCTCTCTCTGCCCATCCCTCTGCACATTCACCCCCGGACCCGCACCCCTCCTACCGCTCTCCCCCGGCGTACTTGGTTCATCACCAATACCACCACCACCCCCCATCGCATCCATACCTCTCCCCGCAACATCGGTAATCCTAGCCCCCTCCACAGTCTTATGCACCTCCTGCTTCTCGAGCGCCTCCTTGACAGCACGGGCATGCTTGCCAACAGCCATGGTTAGTAAGTCATTTGTCATTATCAACGTTGTCAGCGTGTCCTCGTCGATTCCACTGCCATCCCCGGCGCCGTCGCCACCTCCGCTGGCAACAGATATGTATCTCTGCATGGAGCGCGAGGCAGTTTTGCAGCGGTCGGCAAACTCGCGGATAAGTTCATTGCGCGGGATTTCCGGGTGCGGGGTAGATTGTAGCACTTGTTCGAGGAGTTTGGCGGAGGTTTGGGCTTCGGAGATGCGTGCTGCTAGTTCTTCCATGTTTGGGAGGTCCGGTTGGGTTTGGTAGTAGTGGTGAGGTCGGTATTGACCGTTGGTGTTGTTGGGGTTACCGGTGAAGAGACCGCCACCACCGCCGGAGGCGGGGGCAGACTTGGACAGCTTTGCCATGTTCCTCTTCTCCTTGGCCCATACCTCCACAAGTCCCTTCAATCCCTCCACCTCTTCATCCCCATGCCCCCCGACTCCGACTCCGACTCCGGCCCTCGCCGTCACCCTCCCGTCAAAGTGCTCCAGCGTCTCGACCAGTTTCAGTCGCACGCTCGGCTCTCGCCCATGCTTTAGTAGCTCCTTCACCGCCGCAACGAACTTGGCCTCGGCTAGATTGCGCGTGAAGGCGCAGCTTGGGTTGTCGCTGAGAATGCGTGTCAGCATGATGGCGTTGCACTGTGTGTGCGGCCGCAAACTGTTATTCTTCTTTGTCTCTAGGTACTTGCGTATCGTGTGCGCCGCCGCGCGCGCTGCCGTCGGCGAGGATTCGGCCAAGTCGACGATGGTGGGGAGGTAGAGCACCTCCTCGCCCGGGTTTTGGTTTTGCGGACCGCCAGATTCGCAGAACGATTTCTGGGTCGATTAGATAAGGATGGGAAGTGGGGCAGGGGAAGGGACGGGTACAGTAGCGATCACGATCCTCCCCTCCGGGGAATCATCCTCCGCTAGTGAAGCTGAAGAACCGCTTCTTCCGCGATCTCCTGCGTCCCTGTATCTTTCGCTTGCTGCGTTATCCCTCTCCCGATTAGCACCTCCAACCTCTCACGCTAAAGGCGAATAAAAGAGGGATAAGACAAACCATCCCCTTTCTCCCTCTTGAACGTTGTCAATATCCTCTTCATCTCCAATCCAGTCCACCTCTCTCTCTCTCTCTCTCTCTCTATCACACTTGTAGTCGTTGTCGTCGTCGTCGTCGTCGCTGTGTGTGTAGGGGAGCAAAGATGGCAAACGGTGGATGATTCTCTCCACAAACAAAGGAGTAAATAAAGAAAAATCAGACGTCGGTGGCTGGTTGACTGGGTGGATACGGTACTGTCCGAATCAAAGGGTACTGTACTTGTACGTACAGCACCGGTACGGTAGGGCTGCTGTAGGTAGCCCAAGTTATGTTATGTTATGCTATTAAATTACGGTAATCTACTAAGCGCGGGGTGGGGTGAAACGTAGAAATATGATACAAGCTCGAGATCGCCCGGCGCTTGTGTGTGTCTGGGGTTGTTAAGAGGCGGTGATGGGCACCTATCTTTCTCTTAAAACTTTCGGGCTCATGATATTATGGTAGATATCTTCAAATATATAGAAAAATCATCTCACATAAAAGTCCGCGTAATACTCTGCTCTATCATCGTGGAGTACCTGTCCTAGTTATGGTGGGTTGGACGTGATGATGGTGGCGATGATTATGATGATGGTGCAGTGGCTGAGCATACGGTACCACACCCTCACAACCCTTTGCCGCGTAAGTTAGGAGGTCATTACACTACGATAGAGGTATCACACCAAGCCTTAATTACTCTCGAGCAATCTTTCCCAAAGTCTAAGAATCCAATATGGAAGAGGTTTGCGTGGACAAGTGAAGGAGATAAAAAGATATCGTATTCTTGTTGCTTGTATAGTGCGGGTACAGTGGCCTATGTCCCGGATTGGATAGTTTTGGGTTGGATTCAATGGGTTGCGAGTGAGGGGCTATGTTTGCCTCGATTGAGGTGTGTGCGTGAGTGTGATTGTGGGTGTGGATGTGGGGTAGGCGGCTGTATAATACCGGTACTCGAGTAAGAGTACAAGTACCGTAGCGTCAGATGGGAGTGTGGAAGGAGAAGGGAAGGAAGGAAGGAAGGAAGAAGCGGTAAGGCAATGGTTTATTTATTTAAAACATCCTTACTATCACAATCCACTATCGTACAGCTCCCGCCGGGCTGAAGCATTTGCTAATTGGTGGCCGAGGGTGCCGTACCCGAATAGTTTACCGTACGATACGGTACCGTAGTAAGCCACCACGAAGATATCGGCAGGCCGGCGCAGGAACAACGCAAGAAAAGGCGGAAACCAGCCAGAGTTGTCATATCCTTATTAAACTCCAGACACCAAGTACCCGCCCCTTTCCATACTAATATCTTACAAAAATTTCCAAAACTTCCGAAAAAGCGCACAAGACGGATACAGAAAAAGAAAGGAGAAAAAGATCAAAAAAATACGAACTTTATACATGAAGGTTACCCATACCGCTACTCTGCTCTATCCAACTACGGCTCGGGTACCGAAATGATCTTGGAGGGACAACAAGTAAGGAAAAGAAGGCACGGACCATGACCACATTCCCCCCTCTCCCTCAACATCCGACGGACTGGAACCGGTTCGTGTCACAACCACTCACTTTGTCCATCGCCGAATCCAAAAGCAGAAGGAGGGGTAGATAAACGGAAGGGGAAAAAGAAAAACGACTTTTTTCTACAACGACAACTCCTCCCCGGTGTTTATGTTGTCCCCCCTCCCCTTCCCTTCAACCGGGTCACCCATCAACCCTCCGCACACATACCCACCGAATCTCTTCGCTGGCCAACACAATGGACCCCCAAGCCCAGAGGAAGGTGGGGAAAAAAAAGAAGAGTAGGTAGGACACCACGTGCAAGCCTCTCCGTGTAAAGAGGGGAGGACACCGCGTGGGGAACAGGAGGAAATATCTGGGGACGGGAAAAGGCGCCGGGGAAGGATATTACATATGAGGGAAAGGAAAAAGAAAAAGAGGAAAGAGGGCATAAGCACAAACTTTCTACAACCAATCCAGACCACCAACCCCACCGCCCCGTCCTCAGGTTTCCAACCAGCCAGCCCCAACACCGACAGCGGAAAGAGGGGGGGGAGGAGAAAATGCCCCAGTGCCAACGGGAGTCACAAGAGGGAGAAAGGAAAAAGAAAAAGAAAAGCAAGAAGGAAACCTTGATAAAGAAAAACCCCAAAGAAATTCGTTCCCATGATAAGAGAAAAAGCGAGAATAACCCCTTAGATCATCGATTGTGTAGTCTTCCCAAGCCATCATCACTGTCGCTATCATCGTCCTCCGCCAGGTCTGTCAACCCCACAGCAGCCTCCTCGTCCAGATGCCTCTCCAGCAGTCTTGCTCCAATACTACTCCGTGACCCACCAACGTCTGAGCGTCGCAGCTGCATGCTTCGCCGGACCTGCAAGCCGGTGATTCCATCCGTGGGCACCCCTTCACCATACGACGCCGATCCATTTGCTGCAAGCCGGTGGCCATTTGGGTCAGAGCGGGAGAGGTTGAGCAGGTAGACGCCCCCGAAAATAATCAAGAACCCACAAAGAAGCGAAATGGTGTTGACAGGATCAGTAGTGTTGAATCCCTGGAAGAGGATGAAGGATGCAATCAGGGTAGCAGTAGTGAACGTAACATAGTACAGCGGCGTCACTCTGACAAACATTAGCATATCATCTTATCGTTATCGAAATCTTGGGAAAGAGGCGACTAACAGTGAGCTCGAAAACTGACTCAATGCCTTATTGAAGTAGTTCATCTGCGTCAGGATGCAAACCGCCACAACTATAATAAAGACATAAGTGCTTGGATGCGTGAACTGGTTATTCCCCGCAAATGTCAATTTGACCGCAATTCCGAAAGCCTTGGAGCTCATAACCGTCAAAGACCCAACGCTCCCGCAGATCGAAATGTAGATCAGGGGATTCTTTTTTCCGTACTTGGGGGACACTTTGTAGATCATTATGGAAGAAAACGCCGACACTATGGCAACGTACGCTAAAAAGCCTGGAGGATAAACCAGTTAGATCGACCTCCGGAAACATGCAACCCACCAGAAAGACTGTGATTACCGGGCTGAATCGCATAGTACAGGATCTCATCAATCGTCTGAATGTCCTCGTCTGGAGGGGCATGCAGAACAATAATGACACTCCCGATCAAACAAATGGCGCACCCTAATTTGCCTAATACCCCGAGTTCTTCCCGGAGAAAATATGTCCCTAGTACCGCACTATAACCATCAGACGGTCCAAGTTAGATAGCGCCATCCAAAAGAAAGCCCGGTCCAGCTTCGGAAAAACCCACCCAACCAATACGCTCAGCGCTCCCAATGGTGTCACTAGAATGGCGGGGGCAAAGGCATATGCAGCAAAGTTTGCAATCTCTCCCAATATCACTACAATCCAAGTCGAACGGAATTCCGATGTCAGTCCAAATAATCCGTATACGAATTGAAGGCGTCTAGTGCAGCGGGTCTCCTACTTGTTATCATCCCTGCCCACCATATAGGATTTTTCAAATACTTGAAGCCTTCCCCTTCAAAGCCATGTCTATCCGCAGTCTCTATTAACCCCTAAAAGCGGCCTCCGTGGGCGCCGGATTAGTTCATATCCGCAGCGAAACAATAGACCTCATCGGGAGTGGCTACTTTTTTAGTCAATATGAAGCTCGTTCCTGCGCCAGCAAAAGAATCAGCAATGGTGTGACAACGGCAGCAGCGGCAGAGGACAGGTATTAACAAACCTATAGCCATACTCGAGGTGATAGCGAGGGCAAGCCCGATATATCTACGTCACGTTTGCGCGCGCCATCAGCTCACCAGTTCCCTCTTGTAGGCAACGTATGGGGGCGCACTTCTCTTCTACCAGCATCTTTGCCGTTCACTTCTATCCCAACAGCCTAGTCTGAAATCAATTCCGTCGTGCGCGCCCGCGGCCAACGGGTTCGGGAAAGACGGTCAAGTAAAGAGACCGAGAATATCCACTTCTAGAGTGACCACCTGAACCAAAGGAGAGGAAGCTATTCGCCGTCGTGGCGGTGGTAGTCGTTGTCGTGGGGAAAGGGAGATGGGGGGATGAAACGAATGACGCCGGTATAGATGCCAAGAGTGGGCGATGGGTGAAAAGACCAACAGATGTCGATGGTTTGTAGATCGATAACACGGTTGGGGTCGATTCAGTCAAAGGTAGATATGAAGGATAGGAAGGAGCCTAATTGAAGGAGGCAGGAGCCACGCGGCAGGCACAGATGGGGGGAACCTTCTTGCCCTGAGAACTGGAGTGGAGCGAGCACGAGTCTATTCTTCCGCTGCAAAAGCTGGGGTCTACTCGAGTAGGTGCAAGAGGCTCTGGCTTGGGTTAGGCTCGGGCTCACGAGAGAAAAATAGATGGTGGGTGGATGGATGTATGATAATTATGATAAAAGTCGGTTGGGTGAGCCCGCCGCCAACAATGGCTTTCTTTAAAGCCTTCTGTGAGGGAGGGGGCAAGTTCCTTTTCCTTTTCCTTTTTTTTCTTCTTCTTTTCTTCTTCCTCTTTCCCACCTTCACGAATCACGAACCCGCATGAGCCAGGGGGAGGGAGTTTAATGGAATCAAGCCGGTAGGCAGGGGGGCACGAAAGAAGGAAGATGACTAGCGGTTAAAGCGGTGGAGAAAGCTTGAGATGAGTTAGAGAGAGCGGGAAAGTACAATAGAATACCGGAAGTGAATGAAGAGGATAAAAAGAAGAAAGAGAAGAAAAAGAAATAGAATAGATGGAGATGATGATGATGATGGGAAAAGGGAATGAAGGCTCGTCTCTACTCGAGTACCACGAAGGGGTGAGAGAGGGGGGAAAATCGGTTTGTTACCCAAAAAAAAGTTTCGAAATAGTCCAGGTACGATATTTTGTGTGGATGGGTGGATAGATGGGGCTGCGGGAAAGGTGGTCTTTTCTGGTTGTGTGTGTGCGAAATCTGCGAGTTGGCGATCTTTCTTACACCGTGCAGAAACCCGAACCTTTCCTGGGAATGGATGAATGGATGAACGATCGAATGAATAAATAGAAAAAGTAGTATGATATCTATTTTTGTAACAAGCTGGGGCAGTAATTGGCTGGTCAAAAAAGGGGGGCTGAAAACCATGTTTCTTCTTGCCCTTCCAAGAACTCCCACTTGTACGAGTACTCGTACAGTACGGTACTCGAGTATGTACAGTACAGCATGATACAGTACCCTACAAAAGCTCAACAAAAAACGGGAACAAAAGATGACATGCCAATATTGTACTAGTACAGTACACAGACTCGAGCGGTCTAACTTGGCCTCAACTGCAGTATAACCATTCACGACATCAAACGCAGGGACCGCTACCAAGAACCGGAGGAAGAAGAGGAAGCGTCCCTTGTTCTCGAATCCTCTAGTTTCAACAATCATCTTTCACACAACGTTTCATCCTTCCCTCATCCGCACCTCCACTGCTCCATCCGACTCCATCACTTTCCTAGATTAGCGAAATGGATATGTGCGTGCAAGTATGATATCGCACGGTGCCACAAGCCGGTTCCCGTGAGACGCTTCATAATGAAAGTGATTGTGCGCCACGGCATCAAGCACGATGTCAAAACCCCCAGGATCTACGAGTATACTAAATCCCCGGTGGCCATGGCAAACTCAGCCCTACCAACATACACCCGGGGCGTGCTATTATTATTGAAAAATTGCAGGAAAAAAATACCTCCCAATGACCTGGCCTCGGAAGGGTCAGGAATTTGCACCAGCGGAAGTCATATGGTATCGTGATGAAGAACTAGGTACGATGCGCGGAAGTACTCGGCTATGACAACAATACTTGTACCATACTTTAGAACCCCACCACTCGATCCATCAATCATACGCAGGCAAACTTGCGCTATGGTTCCTGAAATATATCATACTACGGCAAGGCTCGGGACTCTTGCACCACTTCGGCGGGTGGCGCTTTTTTTTGTTTTCTTCTCCGGGCCGAGTTTGCTGGCTTGAACCCCAAGGAAAGATACGGCGTGATACCCGCACCATACCGGTACTAGTACCTTACCGCATCATACCTGTGCTCACTGGGACGGAACTTGCCGGGATGGTTGATCATAGTAAATCACTCGTGTCATTTGTTAATGGCCACATCTCTCTCGGGCGGTTGGGAGGTGATGTGCTGTACTGAGCATAACATCACTTTTGTGGTGCCGGAATTTCATTGTGATGTGTTTGCATTATCTCAGGTTCAGGGGGCCAAAACACAGGAACTCACCCTTCTACTTAACAATCCAGCTCTGCCGGGCCTTGTGACGTCACGAGAATCGAATGCGCATATAAGGGTACGATAATCGAATTCAAAAAAGACCTAGCCGGAGCACAAGATGAAAAAGGAAAAGAGGAAAAAAAAGAGAGATGTTTAGTACAATTCTTTCCAACACTGTCCAGAATGTCGTGCCGACGCTTCAATGCGCAGCAGCCAAGCTCCTACGCTCCAACTCCCCGATGACCGCCCCAATCCTCTCGACGACTCCACCCCCTATGGGAAAACCAGACACCATGGTCTTAACAGTGCCCAGAATCTCGTTTCTGCTATCCGCATATTCCAAGCAGCCAGCCTTGACCCTGGCCTCGGAAATCATAACAGTACAGTTCATGGTGTGCGTCCTAATCGCTGAAATCTCGCTCGACAGCGTGGCAGTCTTCCCGTTTAGCGAGGGCACCTGCGTGCCAAGATCTGCCACACGGGCTTCTAGGTTGACCAGTATCTGCTTCTCTGCTCGCTGGGCCGACTGTTCGCGCTCGAGAGCTGCCTTTTCTTGCTCAGCTTGGGATCGCTCGTTCTGGGATCTCTGGAGGTCGTGGTTGTGCGCTGCCAACCGGTCGTTTTGGCCACCGATCTGAATTTCTAGGGTTTGGCATTCCTGTCGGAGGACGTTTGCTTCGTTTTGGCGAGCACGGGCGACATTATCTTGATCACTGCGGATGATTTAGCTTGATCCTCATTGTGGTGCAGGGACGTGCGCAATACCCACCTAGCGTAAGCAAGACTTCCTGCCGTAGCGGCGAAGACGACTGGGGCCAATGGGCCCGCAAATATGGAGAGGATTCCAAGACCAACACCGGCCTAACTTGTCAGTGTCTTTTCTGGCATGGTGTCTTGAGGTCTTGTGGGTGAGTTTAGACTCACTGCCCTGGCGCCATCTCTCCGCTCTCTCGCCCTTGCACTTTCTGCATTAGCTGCGTCTCGCTGTCTCTCCTTGTTGTGCAGCTCGTTTCTCTTGTTATTCAAAGTACTCTGGGTTGAATCCTTCTGTACTTGAACATCTCTGATAGCATTGTTTGTCGTCCGGATTCTGTTTTGAATTCCCCCAATTTGGCGCTCGAGATGTGCCAATCTTTCATTGGTCTGACTTGAGAGCGTATCAAGTCGACTTTTACCTGCGCTAATCTGCTCTCTTAGCCGTGCGAGCCCGATTGTTTGGAATTCGGCTATTTCAGTGGCTAGTCTATTGATATGGTCTAGTCCGAGGCTGCTGGCGCCTTCGGCTTCGTGAAAGCGGTCATGGACAGATGCGGCCTGGTTTTCAAACTCAGGTTCAATATGTGTTTCCTGAGCCCCTGCGTCTAAGAGTCTATCGTCTGTCGCTTTCAGGTATTCGAGGAGGCCGAGCACCTGCGAAAGTGCTGCGGAAAGCTTGTCTTTCGCTACTGCAAAGTCCGTCGCATCGACTGTGGCCAGGCGGGCTTTGTAGCCTTCGTAAGCGTTGAGCTGATGGCCGAGAAGGCTTTCTAACGATTGGATAGTGTCGTGGAGTGAAGACATGGCGAATTTTTGCTATCCCAAGGTGTTGAGAGTTGGATATTGTAAAGGTTCCACTGCGGGGTTCTGAGCTCCTGGGATTTATAATTAAGGCCCACACTAGGTATCCATCTCCCCCTATTCCCCGAGGGGCCCACAGTTCCTGTGTGGGAAGATTTCCCAGTATTTTCTTTCTTTTTTTTGCTCCCCCCCTCTTTTGAATTAGTCTACGGGTAGGGGGACTGGCTATCCACCATAATCACAAACTCTGCCTCTTACCGAATTGCTCTCCAACCAATTGCGCATCAAACCCACTTCTCAAAGGATCTTTTCTTCCGAGAGAGTGGGTGCATCGGGGTCCCAGCCCCGCCTCTTTCTGAAAGGGCTCGTGCCCGTGGGATTGCCTGGAACTGGATTAGCGTAATGAATTTGTCCTGGCATTACTGTAAAACCGGAGAAGCACATTGCTATCATGGGGGTTTAGGAAGCCTGCGGGAGGTAGTGACATATGCTACTCCAACGGATGAAACACATGATCCCATACGGACAGACCTCTACAATATCACGAAGATCGTACTCAGGGAAAAGGTCATCGAGGCGGTGCCCGGTATGTGCGGGCCGGCCCGCGATTCGTTAACATCCATTGCTGCGATACTCGATCACTCCTCGAATATGGTATTCATGCACTGTAATGTCTACAGCATATACGTACGCAGGAAATTTAGATTGGCAATCGGCAAACTGAACACTGCCTGGGTGTGTATGATACGAGGGCTAAGCAGTTCTTGTTTTTTCAGAAAAGTCGTTTCTGAGATTCAGCGAATGGCCTTTAGACACGAACCCAAAATACAGCAATAGTGGATGGTGGGGATGGGGGGGGGGTTGATACTGTCGATACAGATCATTACACCCCCGCATTCAATCACAATAACCATTCCTTTAGCTTCTTTTGAGCAGGATTGCTGTATTCGTAGCCATATCAAGGGGAGGTGATGTGGGTTGGTTGGTTAGGTTTTATTGGTTGGGAACGGCTGTGCCGTAAGCGCCTTGGTAACACAAAAGTTGCGGGTGGCCTAGTTGGTGGCCTAGCTAAGATCTGCGCATATTAGTTGGCAGAGGACATAACAAACCACCGCAGATCACAATCCCTGATAACAAACAACTTTATTGGCCATTGTCCCCAGTATTTTGCCAGTAGTCTACTGTACATTACCGGAGGGGATGGATATAATAGAGCATTTTGCCCTTCTCCGCTCCGCAGAGTGGGAAATCACTTAAACGAAGATATTGTTTTTGAGATCTTGCCTTTTAGCCATGCCTTCCTCAGTCGACCCAAATGATGAACGCCAACAACAACTCATACAGGAAATGCCCGGGATTACAATGGAGATCATCCAGAGCGGCTTGATGAGGTCCAATTGGGCAGATCTCCTAAGCGCAGCCCCCCTCTCGGTTTCTATATTGGGACAGTGCTTTATTGCCGCTTCGGCGCCGGTAGCATTGACGATGACTTTGGAGAAAGGTGGTGAGGAGGGTTCGCTCATACCGTGAGATTCTATTTGTACCCTTTCAAATACCAAAGTTGATGAAACCAGTCACCGTTCCTTACGGGCCAACTTGTTCCACTGTGGAAATATCGGGCAGCGGGCATTCATGGACGCTCAATCGAGGATGCAAACTTTGACCACGCTATCCAACCATATTTGCAGGAATAATGGGGTTGTAAGGATAAAGCCTATTCCTTCTTCCTCTTGTTCTCCCCAAATGGGGCCTGCTCACAGATTTCTTTGGATAGATCAATCAAATACTCGCAGTGTTGGATGACCCGAAAACCGCGAAAAAAACACTTCGTCGGTTGATGAGTAGACTTGAAACATCATCTCGTCGATGTAAGGAGGAAGCGGAAGCAATGGAGAAACAATTTGATTCCTGGAAGGAGTTTGTCTCAAATCTCCGATTAGCTGTCACGGATAGCGAAAGTGTGTGCCCTGGCGCTCCTTAGGAATAAGTGTTAGACTGACGATTGTGATAGCGGAGAAAGCAAACTTGATGAAGCAAAACGAGGAGCAGCGCATTGTCCGGCAAGCTAACATAGAACAAAGGGAGAGGGCGGAAGAGGAAGCCCGGAAGGCGGTTTTAGCACTGCAGGATGCCTTCAGGGACGCTAGTAAGTCACTGCAAACTGCCATGTCAGGTGTCAACCAGGCAACAGAGTCGCTGGGGAAGAGCCCGGACCCGGCATCAATTCCCAAGGTCAACCTTTATAGGCCGAGTGAGCACAGTATGTATTCCTGGGATATATGAGAGTTTATCCTCGATTTAAAGCTGCTGACAGACTTCTGTAGGGGTCAAGGACGGGTTGCTGGGACAGACGGTCGATTGGATAACAGGTGGAAGTCGTGCTGCTCGGCGAGCCGAAAGGGAATACAATGAAGCTCAGCTGAGAGCTGGTGAAATTCAGAAGGAGTTTCTGAGAGACCACTACGAAGCAGCAAGAAAGAGGGTTGAAGAGGCTAGGAAAAATGCAGCGGAAACCCAAAGAATACACATGGCCATACTCGAGAAACAAAGGACGGCGGAAGAGGAGTTGCAGAAGGCTTCTGAGGCCATAATTGAGTCCACTTTGGATTTGAGTAATCTGGATACCGAGAAGTTAACATTGGTATGTTTGCCCAACAAGACTTTGAAGAATTCTCCGGCGTGGACCTTTCTCACATAGAACACCGTCGATAGACACAGATACAAGATATCCTAAAAGAATCTCTTAGTGCACTAACCTATCTTAAGGCCCAAGTAACAAGAATTGTGGACTTCTATTCCGGCATCACACTCATGGTCAAAGATGCGTCAGAACATGCTTGTGATGAGTTCCTTGATACAATTAACACGGGGTTCGAAGATGGGGATGACGAAGCAAAGACAATCGAAAGGATGGAGCTGCATGAAATGCAGAAACGAGTGAGCGTTCATGGGATACAAAAATCAAGAATTCCAACTGATAAAGATCGGAATAGGATGTGCAAACAACCGCGCTAAGAGTCCAGAGTTACTTCTCAGTCATCCAGGAAGTCTCGTCCATTTATGTCCAGGTCTCGAGGCGTCACATCCTCCCGGGAATTAGTATGATAGACGAGCTCGGGCTCCAGGATGGGCCGGATCCGGGAGAAAACGCAAGAAAGAGACAGACGCTAGACGACTATGCCCACACAACCAGGACCGAAGTCCAGATGGTGGCCACTGTGGTATGAGCCCTTTCCCTCACACTGCCCCAAACCAGTGAATAATGGCCCTCGGTTGTACATGTGAAGAAGGAAAGTAAATACTGACGTGAGTCTATTTGTTTAGAAACAAGAAGAAATCAGGAGCGGTTTGTGGAGAAGGGTTAGACAGTTCGCGACGCAAGCTAAATTGCTACCACCTCCTACCCGCGAGGAGTTGGCACAGGAGGAGGAAGATGCGGAAACTTACTACCCAGCTGAATAGCTACCCGCCGTACAGGTATGTAGGTAATCGTGGGAAGGTGGTTAGGAATTTGTGGGTTCTGGATTTGCTTTTATTCTTGTTGTGTTTCGATGGGGTCGAATCGGTGGGGATTTCAGAATCCCGGGTGATGCTATTTGGGTGCTTAGGAACCAAGATTCGACGATGAATATTATCTTATATTACACCTCAAGCACTCCACAATGTAGTTTCTGTGACACGTACTAACTAACCCTCGAATAGAGGAGCCTTTCAGGTGTCTAGCCCTCACGGGTCGAGTGACCGAGAGTGTACTGTACATGCACCTGATGAGCATCGTGGACTATTGAGGTGACCAGCACATAAGGACAGTATTATGGTAGGTTTCAACCCACGAGCTCTAGTTATTTCCATCTCCCGGGAGCGTGAGTTGCATGGTCTCCGTGGTTCGGGCAGCCGCCCACCCACAACGAAGGAGGAGGCGAAGCAACAAATTCCAGCTAAGCAGCTACGGTAAGTTACACCAACGCCAGCATCAACAACCACGTTGCGCTAAAAACGAGAGAGGAGCGCTCTGGCACCATACCGGTACGAGTACTGTACTCGTATTTCAGCATAACGCTATCGCTAAATGCTATCCCCTGGCTCATGGGAAATCAGAGCACATAATTCGGGCGCGAGTCTGTTCGACGACCCAGCCATTTCACCTTAACCGCGAGCGGGAACCCAACTTCCTTGGCAAACTCCTGGTTAAAGCGCAGTGGTGTGCTGACTCGAGGGCGAATAGCCAATGTTTACGTGTGCAAAGCCAGAGAGAGCTGGACGTGTTCCTAATACTGTAAATATAAGCTCTATGATATTCAGAAGACGAGGCTTGCGACCAAATCTCGGACAACGGATGAATTACGGCAGGGGTTGAGCCTCCATAAGAACTTGAGAGTTGTGGCTTGCGGTGGCTTATTCCATGCGAATGATTTGGAATCATCCCCGTAGGCCTGGAGAATGAAAGATTCAGATTACCGTAAGCGAAATCTAGGGCGAAACCGTTACCGTTACTGGCACTTCGCCTAAGGAAAGAGCCGATATCCTATCTCCAGAAGCACACAGCCCGAACGGCTGGGGGAGTGTTGCACCAGTACCGGTATGATACCGGTACACGAGTACAGTACCAGAGCCCATCCATCACACATGCGAGCATGTTTTGACAGCCGCGACACTCTGCAGTGCTATTATGGTGGCTCAGAGGTGTAGGCTTTGTCGATGCGAGCACAACCTCATCTGACATGGGGTCAACCTTACCGCTGATTAGTCCGGGGGTTTTGGTTGAAATTGACCTCATGTTTCTCTTGGAACGGTGGGACTTTTGGGCGGTTACAGTGACGGCTGAGACCGTGCCCCTTGACTTCGTCTCCTATTCGCCGCAGAGGAAGTGACGGTCTTTAATTGTGGTTTAGAATTCTCTAATGTTGCCAGCAATTAACCCTCTCCGTTTTCCAATGGTAGCTTCTGAGGATCCTTCCAATCATGAGAGAAAGCATCATAGGTTAACTTTTTATAATCGCATTTAACCATTGTCGATAATCCATTAGGTTAGGCTAACGCATAAGAACTTGAAGGGATTCAAGGGCCATGTGACGCCTGTTGCAGTATTTGGGGATATTCTCATCCTAATTCCAAACATGATTGGATTATGGCTGTACGAGTGCTGTAAAGAACTGAGCAGGCATTCCCAGAAGTGGTACAGCGGAAATCAGCCATGGTCAATGAAGCTGTGCAGCAAGTTCTTCTCACGGCCCAATCATTTGGAATATTGCAGAATGACGCGTGGAGAATACCGGGATCAGTCAAAGATTCTCGTTGGCCATACACCCGTTCCCACATTCTTGGGGGTTCTCTATCCACGTTCTACGATTCCACGGGGACACGAAATACTCCATCTCTTTCCCTTTATATCTTCCAACCCCCCCCCCCCCCCAAGAACTCGTGGTTCAAAGAAGCTTTCTTCTTGCCAACCCTCATCGAGCCCTCGGCCCTGCACTTTCCAAAACTCTAAGTCAATTCCTTATCATTGTACCAGATTTGCTACCGGTAGCCAAGTAGTAATGCGTGAGTAGGAGGAGGCACCCTTTACACTTGTTGAACATTCCCCCAGGGAAACCTAACAAATGAATTGGTTTTCTAGATCGACTCAATCGAGCTGCGAGCTGTGAGGCAGACACCGAAGGATTTAATCCCTTTTGTCGACTGCGTCAACACCGTCGGAGAAAAGCACTCTCTCGGTTAAGGAACAGGTATTCTTCACAGGATGGGCCGAATAAGGATAGGGAAAGGGTAGCCACGGCAAGATCGCCCCCGACAGCCGAGGAGAGCTTTGGTTCTCAAGCCACCGTTGTTCCCGAGGGGCCTAATCGAGTGGACACCATAACCATGGAGGAAGGTCGACCACAGATGGCAAACATACAGAGAATGTCTCATTACTCAGAAAAGGAGATGGAAGAACACAAAACCATCTGGGGACAGTTCAAAGCTGCAATATTTAACAGTTGGATTAACGTGTTGCTCGTGTTTGCTCCCGTGGGAATTGCTACACATTATGCTGGGGTTGATCCGTGAATACCCCTTTCCTTGCCAGCTAACGATGAATAATTGCTAACGTGTGAGGACGTCCCAGGACAATCGTTTTTGTAATGAATTTTGTTGCTATTATACCTTTAGCCGCCTTATTGTCATACGGAACGGAAGAGATTGCGTTGTATTGTGGTGATGTTTTGGGTGGTCTGTTGAATGCTAGTTTTGGGTAGGTTTCTTTCCTTTTCTTTTCAATTTGGGAATTGCTGGATGGAGCTAACTATTCTCATAGTAATGCGGTGGAACTCATAATCTCGATACTCGCACTGGTTAAGGGTGAGATAGTGATTGTCCAAACATCACTCATTGGAAGCATTCTCAGCAATCTGCTACTCGTGCTTGGCTTGTCTTTCATCGCGGGCGGTTACAATCGTATCCAGCAAAGCTTCAACACTACCGTTGCTCAAACTGCCAGTAGTCTTCTGGCCCTTGCGGTAGGTAGCCTGGTCGTACCCACAGCATTCCACATGGCTGGACCTTCCAACACGGGTATTACAGAACTTAGCCGTGGCACTGCCGTCATCCTACTGTTGGTTTACGCATCCTATCTTCTATTTCAGCTCAAAACCCACAGTGACATTTACAACGAACCCTCGGAGAAATCACCCAAGCGAAACCACGTTGAGCCGGCTGGAAAGTCACTCGTTCATGCGAGTGCCAGTGTCTCACATGCAGTAGTTATGGGAAAACCGAGACCAGATGACCCGGTTGAGGAAGAAAGGGAGGAACCGGACCTTACGTTGTGGGCTGCTGTTATTTTGTTGGCTGTGAGCACGGCGCTTGTTGCTATCTGCGCCGAATGCTTGGTTGACTCAATCGATCATCTCGTCACCAGCGCAGGTATCAGCAGGGTCTTTGTTGGGCTGATTCTGCTCCCGATTGTGGGAAACGCTGCAGAGCATGCTACTGCCGTTACTGTGGCAATAAAGGATAAAATGGATCTTTCGATTGGCGTCGCTGTTGGATCTTCGATGCAGATCGCCCTTCTTGTTATTCCGTTTATTGTTGTGCTTGGCTGGATCATTGGAGAAGATGAGATGACATTATACTTTGACGGGTTCCAAGTTATGATTCTGTTTGTATCGGTCCTGTTGGTGAATTATCTGATCCAGGTACCCTTTCTGTCCTCTCTTGGTCTTGAGCATATACTAACGGAGATTGTCTGCAGGATGGCAAATCAAATTATCTTGAGGGAAATTTGTTAGTTGCGCTATATGCGATTGTTAGGTATGTACCCCCGTACTCTGCGTATATTCTTGGAAGTATTTCAGCTAATTGTGAATGTAGCCTCGCATCTTTCTTCTATCCAGAGGAGGGTCCATTAGCGCAGGTTTCCGAATAACGTCATACTCTTTCCTTCACTCCTTCTCTCAAAGCTCATATGTTTAATCGTTTGGGATATGGTTGTTTTTTGTTTATTGTTTGTCTATTTTGTAATCATACTGTGTCGCAATTCCCTGTATGCCGAGTCTTTTGTTTTCATATTTGGTGTAGAATGTATCATAGTATATCACTCGAGAGCTTCATCGGTGGATCGTGTCTGCCGTAGCAATGTGCAGTGGCTATAGAAGAAATGTTAGTAGACATAAAATAAATTAATCAAATAGGAAGTAGTGAGCAACAGAAAGGGAAATAGACTGCTATCTATCGAGCTCGCCCGAGCTCATCATCCACACACTGACTTGTTCGGACACCCTCATCAATAAGACACTAACCAAAGTTAGCACCAAGTATTGAACAAAAGAAAAGAGGAACGACACACTAACCGAGGAAGAGATGTGATAACATCAAATACCCCTGGCTAGGACCCTTAGTTGTGAATAGAATAAGACTTTAACGAAGAACTTGAGAGCATAAAGAGATCTACGGTTACTTGTGACTAATCCCGCGTTATACTAGCTATGTGGTATTTACAAACTTCAAATTGAAGCCCAAAAACACAAATTTCAGTGACTCGATATGTGCCCTATTCCCTTGAGTCACAATCAAGCCATGAGCAAGGGAGCCGCCACATATATGGCCAATCCAGGTCAGGCTCCACGACACGTAAATATCATAATATTATGTGGTTTGCCAGGCCAATCCACCGCACATCATCAGCACGCTTATGCGGGGCAGTGTAATAAATGCACTTTTCTGTTTTCTCAGGGCAGCATATTTCGTAAGTACCCCATAGCAAAAAACTGTCGAAAGGCCGCCGGGAAGATACCGCTGCCCTTGGGTAGTAGTACCACACTGCGCAATAATGGTTTTTAGGAAATTAGATATCAGCTCGAGGTACATTTTCCGGGTGGGAAGTGCCCGAGGCTTTCTTTAGGTATCGTATACTTTCTGACAATCAGGGCGGGCAAGGTTCCAGTTGACTGCAGGATTCCACGGCCCGGTTGCCGTGGAGTTATAAAGAAAGAGGGTTTCCGTATATCTTTATATCCGCGGCCTCCTGCTGCAGTGGGGGTATTTATTTTCGGACCTGTGAATGGCTACGCTATCGATTATGGTGCGACTAGGGGACGTGGTCTCAATATTGGGGGTATTCGGTGGGTCTTTATGTATTTAATCACAGTGGGTTTTACCGCACCTGAACAACGATCCTCTCGCCACCTTATACAGGAGTGTCTCCCACAGTATCCAGGTTATAGTGCTCCCATAGTATGAAGATTTTTCTCCTCTTTTTCTTCTTCTTTCGCTATGGTACAATTTAATATACGGTATTCCGCAGATGTCTCGACTCCTCCTCCTGCGTTGTGAAACGGGTATGATAGCCCGGGTTTCAGGGACCCCCACATAGATGTATTGCGCACTTTGGTGGTCCGAGGTACGGTAGGGTATGATAGGACAAAAGCCACGGGTGAAAAAACCGAGAGGGGAACACTCAACCCGGACAACCGTTATGTCAAACATATCACTCGGGAGGGGCTTGGATGTCCGAGTGAGGATCAAAACCTCACCACTCCTCTCTCTCTCTCTTTCCCGGCAAGAAAAAGACATTATATCATCGACGATTGCTCCCCCCACCGCCTCTTCCCAATCGTGACTCGTTCGTTCCCTTAACACTCCTGATATCCGCCAGGAAATGTACATACAGTACCCATTCACCCCATGAAGCATACCAACTGCGCTGACGAATGCAGAGGCTTGCATCAGAGGCTTGCATAAAAATGGGGGGAATCCGTATCGTGCGGGTGAACTGCCTGTACGCCGCCTCATGGTAATACAACTGATATGGTGGCGAGCTGGATTGTGTTCTGAAGCATGGATGCTTTGGATGGTGGTACTCGAGTGCGGTAGTCATGTATTGCCAAGCACGATACGGGGACTCAGTAGAACTAAGCAAATATTCTAAACAAACAAAACAAAACACAGATATTCTCCTAACATATGATGTCAAGGATAATCATTACTCGGCGCGCCGATACCTGCATTTCCTAGCAATCGGGGTGCAAAATTCCGGTACTGGCAAAGCAAGACGGAATGTGCAAGACCATACACGGAAGGGGAAAAAGATCAACAGAACAAAGAAAAGAGAGGGGGAGAAGAGAGAGAGGGCCTCACCTCACGCACAGCGCAGGGGAAATTTCAAGCAGAATTTCCTCCTCCTCCCCACCTTACTCACTCATCCAGCCAATCGCTTGCTCGCTCGTGGTGGGAGAGCACTGCTGCTTGCAGAAAACCAGGCCAAGCTGAGTCCGCAACTGCCACCATACCACGCCGTATAGTCTTCTCGGCAGCCTCACGATTGCCGTTCGAGCAAGAAGGGGGGGGGAAAGAATTTCGGGGCTTTGGATGAAGAAAATCCCCCTAGGAATGAGAGACGGCGTGGTTCTCGGCGATGCCACGAGGTACCGCATGTACTGTATCATAAGTACCGATACCGTACGGTACTCGAGCACAGTACTCGTGCAGCCCTATAGAATGGCGTACGGTGGCGTGCCCTACGTGCCGGGGTTGCAACTTGATCTCGGCGACCTGTGCATAAAGTACGGTTTACCGGTATGTGCATTTTGCTGAAAAGAGAATTATAGGTTTATCGCCGCCTGATTACGATCAAGGAGGAAGGGAGGTTGGAGGGAAAACGGGAAGTGTGTGTGCAAAGGCGATAAGGGGATTTACCGACGGGGATCTTTTCCCTGCTGGGATGTCCTAGGGATTGGGAATTGGGCTGCTGACGGGTGGAAGGGATGTCGGGGATTTGGGGATTTTGGTTTCTCTCATCCTTCATTTCTCCCCTCTTGTTATCCACTCACACTCGAGCATTGTAGGGAGTGGGTTTATGATATGACGGTGGATGGTGACGATGAACGGAGCCAAATACCGTGCCCGATCGTTCTGTCAGTCATTGGTACGGATAGGTTGGGTGGTGTTATGCGGTAGTGATATAATCCGTACCTGGATGATAACACTCTGTAGGGGAAGAGCAGTTTGTTAGAGGGGGGTTGGGGGAAAGAAGGTACAGTATCATACCGAATGATTTTGTATGGCTCGCCCCATCACTCACGTCGCATGGTACCATAACTTAGTCTACTTGCAATGTTGCAACGAAGGCCTTGGCGGGCCCTTCGAGTAGGGGGTTCGCCGAGGCTGATTCTGGGCGAATCTCCTAGCCCGTAACTCTGCTTGGTTATAGACTGATATGCAGGCAAAATAACGTTGAAGAGGAAGAGGAGTTCTCTTCTGCACTTCTGGAGCCGTTCGAGTGTGATACGCTAGTGGAGGTGAAGGTACGTGTATGTGGGCAGGGGACGGAGGGATATACGGTATTCTGGGTTACTTTTTTTGCCCATGGCGCAGTTCCAATTAAGTTATTTACCACAGCGTGTTCCTATGGGGGGTTCATAAACGCGAGCTCTACGAGTAAGGCCCTTGATGATTTCCATCACTACCGGTAACCTACCCTTCGTGCTAACACTGGATACCTGTATCACAATATCATGCTCGAACACGATGCCGGTATGATACTCAGGTATCATTGGGTTCTGCCCATCCCCCTCCCCCTACGGTAGTCCACGTGATGACTGGTGCAGAGGCCCACTATTCAAGTATCCTATGGCGCTAACAGCCTTACTATTGATCCAGCTGCACATCGAATTGGTCTAACATTCCGGTGCTGTACTCGAGTGCTTAGGGTGTGAGCTTAAGTCTGTCGAAGTTTCGCTCATTCGTCGAAATTACTATGAGCGTAGCCATTTTTTTTCTTTTCTGTTGCAATACGGCCAATCTACGCTAAATTTTGGTGAATGAAGGAAGTCTGTCGAGCTCCCGGCACAGTGTCTGGAGCAAATAAGTTACCGTTCTTTGAACGGTCGGGAAGGCATGGAGCCAACTAGAGGATGTTCGACAAACTTACCCTAGATACCCGGTACATTTATCATATCTCACACCCCCCTCCCAATGAAGCGTGCACTTTCCGCTGCTGCCGTCGCTGCCGAGGAATGAGATTCGATGGGTACCGACACCATCCTCCCTCGAGCACGGTCAGGTATACGCGGATGAGCATTCCATCCATTCATCAACACAATGTCAGTTTTTCTCAGTCTATTGGCCCTCGTTGATAGAGATGCACGGGAAGCGGTGGTGCCTGTGTGATGGGCGAGCGATACCGCACCAACCCGTGCTTGTCCCTCAAACCATGTTAGCGAGCCAAGTGAGCAATGAAGGGCAACTATTCTCGTAATCATGGTTGGGCACGTTGTATAAACAAGCGTCTCCTACTGTTGTGGAAAAAAAGAAAGTGCAGAAATCAAAAAGATTTTCGTTGGACGGATATAGTTTTGCGCGCATCGTTCCCTGTTTCTCAATACAAGTAGCGATATCCTATCCGCAACCCCCCCCACCGGCTGGGCTGTTCCTTCCTGCTTCGATTGGGGTAGAATTAAATTTACACTGTCAGGCCATGTTTCTACAAGTTGTTCGTTCTTTTCCGCCGTATGATAAAAGTGTGGTTTTTGAAGGAAAGGGAAAAAAAGAAGAAAAAAAAAAAAGAAGAAAAAAAAGCCACCCGCCGGGACGACATGTGCTGATTCGCAAAGAGTTAGATATTCAAGCTGGAAGGAGGAAAGCACAAGTGTCCGTGATGGAAAAACGTGAGCAAACTAGAATTGTACACCCCCCCCCACTTCCCTTCCCTTCGCTATATCGTGGCCCACCTATCTATCATACATTCAAGTGCAGCATCACGCGGACTCCACCCCCTTTCCCGAGACTCCCAATAATAATAACTTGACCCTGTTTCGGAATTAACAATGTTTATATTCCAATCCTCGCTATTTGCATACAAGTGCTCTGGAAGGGTGTGCCCAAGTTGTGTTGTGGGATGGGAGGGTCGATTTCTTTAGGACTTACTTTCTCCACCTCCACCACCAACACCACCACCACCACCACCGCGGGTGGTGTGTGTGTGTGAAATGTCACCGTGGAAATTGTTTTGGTTTTTCATGATGGATAAATAATTATTATATTGAGCGTCAGAGAAGGTTAATACCGTAGTAATCCTTGTGGGTTCCCACTGGAACACGGTTCCTTCCTTCCTCCCTCCCTTCCGGAAAACTATGGACCGGTACCGTATTGTACTGTACGGTACTCTACTGAAGAATGTGCTCTTTCACTGGGTTTTTTAAAGTCTTGTCTAAATGTGAGTTTCAAGATTTACGTTAGTAAACCATTTGTCGTTTGTTGAATGATGAACCCCCCTGAGCTATGTTTATCAACTAAGAATATAGGCTTTTTTTTTTTCATCGATAAAATTATTGAATTTGGAGGCCCCTTCCCTCCCTTCTGAAAAAAAACTCATCGAATGAATGAATGGATCGTAATTTTCAAAATATAATAATAATAATAGTAGTAATAGTAATAGTAATAGTAATGATATTATGGTAATAATAATATGAAATCACGATAGAGACTATGAAAAATCCGACACACAAAGACCTTCGTGGTACAAGTATATTTCACTCTTATTTGTATACGATTCCCTCACAAGACATATCCTAACTTCGTACACTTGTTGAAATCAATGACCGTCAAAATACGAAAAAAGAACGACATGATAGCATGAACATCAAAGCCCCCCCCAACGTTCCCTCCCTCCCTAAGCCATCGCTGCTAGAACAGCGACTACAGCAACAATGATACCAGCAACACAAGGTCTGTTGATCGAACCAGCACCGGGGTAGACGGATGCGGAGTGGCTGGGCGCATATGTGGTATTTGACGGTGGTGTCACGATGGCTGGGGACTTGGTGGTGGTTGGTGGTGGTGGAAGAGGGGTATATGTAGTTCCTGGAGGTGCAGAGATATATGTGGTGGTTGGCTTAGATGGGGGTGGGGGGGGAATGTGAGTGGTTCCTGGGGGAGGAGGGAAAACATATGTGTTGTTGTGCGAGGGTGGTGCCCAGAAAGTATAAGTGGTCCCAGGGATGGTGTACGTCTTTGTGTAGTAGGCGGTTGTCTCGTTGCAGATCGGGCAAGGCTTGGTGATGACATATGTCTTTGTGGCGGTAGTGGTGGGCGGGTACACCGTTGTGATCACTGGCGGAGGGACCTTAATTGTGGGAACAGGCAGTGGTGTGACTGTAGGTGGGCAATCAGTAGTCACTGTGACCACAGTCTTTGTAAGAGTTGTTGTGAGTGAGGAAACGGAAGTATACGTAGTCCATCCAGTTGTGCAAATCGTGGTCACGGGAATCCAGGTGGTGATGGTGATAAGACTTGTAATTGTCTTTGCGGTTGCCGTTGGCGGGTATACAATAGTAGTGTTCCAACTTGGGGGTGGGTTGTGGGTGGTAGGTTGATGCTGAGGAGTGGACACCGGGGGAGGGGAGTGGGGTTTTGTCGTAGGATAAATAGGAGTCGTAGTCGTGAGCCATGTAGCAGTTGAAGTCGGAGGAGGAGGAGGAGGATGCTTCACAGTAGTGTTGTCGGGAGACCCCCATTCCTTATCCCGCTTCACGAATTGCCCGGGAGCATTAACAAGGTCTCCTTCGCTGGCAGCACCGAGAGATCCTGCAATAAGGGCAAAGAAGGAGAAGATATGAACGGAGTTAACCATTTTCACTTCGATTTAGGCCTTAGTTTGGAGTTCCTTTCCCTTTCTTCCGAGTGGTTTTCAGAGGAAAGCTAATTGACTTTTTCAAGCGAATGATGCAAGTCAACTAATTCGAACTGAAGGTAACGAGAGATAACAAGCGACAAACAAAGCGAATGTGTTTTCGAATGAAGGACGCTTAATAGCTAGCGAAAGTTACCCAACGAGAGCTAAAGAAGGGATGGAAGAGAAAGGTCAAAAGGGACCGCGTGCTATGAGGCGGGCAGGCATTTATAAGATATTCCCTCTATGATACCCACCACCCAGACCTTGTTTCCAGGGAGACAAAAAAAAAATCAATGGGAGAGCGGGGGGCAATGACCTCGAGAAGGTTCTGAACTCCTAATCGGGGAGAGGGAATAAGCTGGCAGTTGGCATCAGCTATGGGCCGCTGGCCATGATGCACAAAGTACTTTGCGAGGATGCAGCCTTTCTATATTTGCTAGTTTGATGTGCGGTAGCTAGCGGAGTCCGGGTTGGGCGGTGGTGTGTGGTACTGGCAAGGTACCTGTACTCGAGTACTGATGGTGGTACTGACCGATGGCTGGTTCGATTAATAGAGTTGATGTAAACCATATCGCTAGCGATAGGATGTGCCAGCGCCCGAGACAAATGTTAAGGAAACGGCGCAGGTGGAGTCGGTCAGACTAGGTACTCCCGCAAAGGGTAGAAAAATGTTGCACTAAACGCCCAATTCGGCATACATCCGGACTGAAACCGTTGATGACGTGCATTCTCCAGCACAATTTCGAGTCCCGAACAGGGGTTGTAGGAAGAGATCTTCCTATGAATCCTAATACCCAGCCTACCACAGTAGCCAGTCCAAATGGACTAGAATCAAGTCAATAGTATCGTACTCAATCCAAACAGCGGACACGAGTATGGTAATGCTAGCTCATAGTTCACCCGGCGTGAGAATTGATATCGGACCTGCATCAGAAGAGCCATCGTGATAGGCATTGCTCGATCAGAGCTCGGGACACTTGTACCGGCAAATTGGGGGAGTACGGTAGGATATTGTATGTGAGGATAGAGTCCTTACTAAGTAAGACAGACATTCAACTGGCTCCGACTTCGATAGCTTAAGATTCTCCGGAACTGGATAACCAGCCAACACAACTGGTATAGTACTGTACATTACTCGAGTATATTATAAGTGAGGGTTTTTCGACCCTGCACTATACAAACAGAGTACCGGTATCCTGCTAGGAGGCAGGAAGTCCCCGTGTGAGTAAGTGAGGTAGGACAACTAGCAAACCTCTTGCGATCAAGAAGCAAACTACTGTACTCGAGTAGTGCGCTGAGGCGAAGGTGTTGTTCTGCGATTCCGCAAGGATCCTGCAACAGTATCAAGCATGAGTGGATCATCATGCATGTCAACCAATCAGCTGGGGTGAAGGATTGCCCCCAAAATGGTTATAAGCAATCCTAAAGCGAAGTCATGCATCTTAGAGAAATCGAGATAGAAAATCGCCGGAGAAAAAGCCCAATTCTGCGATAGGCACCTCTTCTGCTCCATGCGAGCGAGCTCTCTCAGCGCACCCAGTTGGCGCCTCCATCACCTCTCTTCGAGTAAGTCCTGCTGCCGTACGGCGTACTGGAGTAGATAGTAGTCTACGGTAGACTGGCCCTTCCCTATCACGTACCCTTACAAGTACTCAGGGCACCCTAGATCAACAATATTCACCCCCCAGCGAGCGCTTTAATAAGCCGCCACACTCCCTCCGCCCTTGCTCGTGCCGGTATCTAAAGAGCCGTCCTGTTCCGATCATAATATTATCATAGTTGATAATCGCCTTGTCTCCATCGTCAGACACAGCCCTCATCTTGTCTCAAGATATCATCCCACAGCAGCCGTACTATACCGACGCTCAAGTGATGGTTCCCATTCAAGCCTACCAGTACCCCATGAGACGCACAATACCATATCCGCACCATAGTTTCTCGGCTATTGAGTGTACAAGTACCGTAGCCTTCCTGTGACTAGCTTTTATTCCAGAGCAAAAAAGCTTGATTCACCCCTCGCGCGGAGGTCCGCGGGAGAAAAAAAACAAGGCTAAATCCATCAGTGCTCGAGTACCGTACTCGTAGACAGCCCTATTTGTTTTTTCTTCTCTCTCCTCGCTCGGCTGGCAGCGCGGGAGAAATATTTCTTCCCAACCCTGGGGGTAGTTTGTTGTGACATTACGGGAAGAAAAGAAAAAAAAAGGAACCTATGATATATTCCCTCCCAAATATAGGAAATCCGTTGAAAATCGCTCCGTCGCGTACCGGTATACGAAAAACAGAGCTCAATCTGATGAAACAACATTCATTTTTTACCCTTCTTCCCGCCAAAACCTCTCCCCTTTTTCCATCAGTCGTCATAATCATCAGAGCCACTATTCCACCCCGTTTCAAATCCTTCGATAAACTCCCCTAGGTCATTTAGGATTGCTTCCCGCTCGTCCACCCCAACCACCCGCGATACAACATTCTTTATGCTCTTCAGTCGCGGCATCACTTGCGATGACGTTGTGAGCCTCGCACTGACAGCTAGTCTCTGGTCCCCCCCAGTTGCGTCGCCCTCTACGGGTATTATGCGGTCTGTGGAGAAGATACTCGGGAAGCTATCAATGACAGGGTAAGTGAAAGAGGTATGGTATCTACCGAAGCAGCACAATAGTCAGCGAGAGACATGAGTAAGTGCGAGGCGTGACAGGACGAGATGGAGGGTAAAATGAAAGCAGCTGCTTGCAAGTTTCCGCTCAGCAGTTCCCCATCCGCGTAGGATGAACTTCCTGCGTTACTGCATGGCTAAGCAGACTACCAGTAGCATCTTCACCAAGTAATTAAAACACAATGCAAATACAAGAAGAGAATATCGGTCATAGATGAGGCAAGGCAATCAAGCCAACCAACACAACTACCGGCACCACATATACGGTGCTCGAGTACTATCTCGTGGTGGTCTCGTACCCCCACGATCAGAGACAAAAACATCCCGAGAAGGAACACTGCCTTCCATATGGTATACCTTGAGTACTCGAGTAAGCTGAGCCCGCAGGCCTACTCAGCTAAGTCCATTGCGGTTTAGTACAGCGATTTCCGCCACGCAATCCGACAGTGGAGTTTTACGGCACCAGTTTTCAATGAATAGGTGTGTGATGGGTAGCTGGTAGTCATGTGACTCAATGCGTGGGGGACGTCGCCAGGGCAACTAAGTTGACCAAGCGTGCAAGCTTTCCTTCCCTTCAGAGGCCACAATACTAGTACACGGAGGGGGGGTGGGACAAAAAAATCCGCAACGGAAAAGAATGAAAAATCTGAACCTCACCTTTCAAAAACTGCATCGTGGTGATCATTGGGAAGTTCGGGTGAGTCCCCCGCTGTCATATCTTTAGTTCGATCATGATTTGATACTCTCACAACCTCTGTCACGGCAAAAGTGTGACTCTCGTGGCTCTGAACACCCCGAGCCCTCATGGCCATCCCGCCAAATTCATACCCACCTGAGTCCCAGGACAGCCCGAACCCTTTGTCGGAGAGGCTCGGTTCACCTGACCTTGGTGCACTTGGATTTGGTTTATGAACAGTCATTGAGAGTGTTGCGATTTTTTGACCCCCATTGACATTAAGAAGCGATGCCAAGTCATCCAATTTCCCCAATCGACCAGCACCGAAACCATCACGAAGACGAGTGGGGAGGGTGCACGACTCTACCGCAACTGAAAGTAGCGCACTCTTATGCCACTGCAGGGCTGTATCTAAGTGAACATATCCCGGGAGTTTGGATTGGGGGAATCCCAAAGGAATGTATAACGAAGTTAGCGGAATAATATTCGACAAGGTGTATGCAAGGTTGACCGTATGGTTTATCTGCCTTTCCTATTTCAACTTAGTAACCCCAACCTTCCCTTCGCACTTAAGCAAAGAAGAAAAGGATTAGAGGGGAACGTTATGAAAGTGAAGGAGTATACAAGATGGGAAACCGAGTTGGAGAGGCAGATAGGGACCGATCACGAATACTCACTCTAGTGGTTTTCTCAAAATCCTGCAGTCCCCAAGTCATAATTCCGGTTTTCGGATACTCGTCTCTTAAGGCAGCAACATACTCAGCTGCGAAGCCACCCCAAGCATCTTCTGCGGATGTGAATATCTGCACACCCTGCATTTGGTCACACTCTTCTGCAAAGAGTCTGAAGTCTCTATCGAGCATGTCATGTTCTCTGTTCAATTGGTTGAAGAGATCTCTGCCCAAACTAATATTTTCGAAGGGCATGACTTTTGAATTGAGGTCATATTGGTTTAGTTGGATGGAAGAACGCGGATGATAAAAGACCTTATTGAAATCGCTCCAATAGCGAACAGATGCCGGCTCTAGGCGGGCTGGAAGGAGGCCCTATATCAATTACCCAAGCTGTAAACCCCAATAACGAGGAAAACGGGCCGGTATCGCAGGGGCTTGTCGGAACCTACAGTGTCGAGGGATCTCTGATATTCAATTGGCTCAACTAGAGGCTCTCGCTGAATGGTCATTCCATTATCCCTAATTTTCCGAAAACATTTTTGTAAGTGGATTTTCCGCGGTAAATCGGTCCGCCATCCAACATACCACAGTCCTTGTGGAATCCCAGCATCTGAGTCCCGCTCCACTTCATAAAGAGCATTGATTTTCTTCATAGACCCAAATCCGCCTTTGAGATCATATATAAGAGTTCTAGGTGTAAAAGTCTCTCCTCCGTCAACCCCAATGCCGGGCCGGAAGTGAACGTTATGATCCACGGGGCTAGGTGAAGCATCTTCGGCATAAGTGAAGTATGATTCCTATGGTTTCCACAAATCAACCAATGATCCCCTGACAGGCCTCGAGCCATATTAAAACACCCTTAGGTCCCACGTACCTGAGTATTCCAGAAGTGAGTCCCAAGGTAGTTGGCCTGGTGTCCCAACTGTAGCGTAATGATTTCGTGCATCCTGAAGTGGGCTCTGGGGGGTAGTTATGATATCGGAAAGAAGGGGTGATCTTCTTTGAGGTCTTGACACAGCCCCGGATGATTCGTAAGATTCTACATGCAAGTTGGGGAGTATCCTATGAGATATCGGGAACCGAATCAAGGCGTCAAGGCAGAAAGTGCTGAAAAAGTGAAGAGATATGGTGCCGGTAAATTATGATAAATCTTGCGGCTCTAGACTTGCTTTTTGCCCCTCCATCATTATCTTATCTTATCTTATCTTTTACTTTCCTATTTTGTGTTAGCGTAGTTATGTTCGGGTTAGGGTTAAACTCAATGCTCCTCACTGATCACCCTTGATTGTCCTTCTATGATGCTCGAGTATCATGCACCGAACACAATTCGATTAATAGTATAATAATATGTATATGGTAATAATTTGGTGCGGAGTATGTATCATACACAAAAAGCCACAAATATTCAGCAAAAGAGGACTGCTGCCATGCCTAATTAGACCCAAGGCCCCCCCACAGAAGGGTCAACCCTTTTAATTGCCTTCCAACAAGATCCTGCACTTAACCCCAGGACCGAACCGACAATTTCATTAGGCCCAGCCCGGGAATTGGTGCTAGTACGTATCATATCAGGGTAACTGGAGGGTACTAAGCCAAGGCGGTGTTTGCAGGCAGTCGGGACGCTCTTGATTAAATCAAGAAACGAGTGATAGTGAGTGAACACCCGCGGTTGAAATTTACTGGGCAACTATAACCGAGGAGGCTCACTAGCAATGTCACTTCAACATTCTAGTCACAGTCTCGAGCAGCAGCCTGGTACCAGAGAATGGCTTCCCCCAAGCCAGAAAACAAGCCTACGGTAAGGATAAACTCTCCCGAGATTATCCGCAGGGTGATGTTTACTAATTTATTGTGCTTAGGGATCTGCGCCTCGCGTTATCCCAAAGTTCTCCAGTTTCAAACCATTAGCGAAGGTCGTAACAGAGGAGCCCGAACCGGCTCCAAGCCGGGCTGGAGGAGAGCATTCTAAACGTGACAGAAGGGAGAGGGGCCATAGGCGTCGGTCGCGCTCAAGAAGCCGAGAGCGGAACCGGGATAGGGATAGTGATGGGCGAAGAGAAAGGAACAAAGAGAGAAACCGCGAGGAGGGGAGGGACAGGTATAGACATCAAGGATCTGATCACCGCCGCCGCAGTGAGAAAAGCAGCAGGCGCGAAAAGCCTAGATCACCGACGAGAACAACTGCTGTCGCTACTGGCAGGTCGCGTCCCCCATCTCCGGAGGTGGCTTCTCAGAGGGCATTCTATACAGATACCCGTGGTGATCCCGATAATGTCACCTATGGCTCTATCCACAGATATTCTATCCCGGACTACCGCCGTCGAGGGGGCGGAAGTGTGCTCGGACTATCGCCGGGGATTCGGATTGATCGAGAAAAGGGCGATGGCAAAGGCTTGGTGTTGCAAGAGCGGGAGAGACGAAGTGGGACAAACACGCGGAAACTCTTTGCTGCGCTTGAGAGTGGAGTGAGGGTGTTAAGGATTAAAAAAGATGGGGGGGATTCAACAATTAAGGTCTTTGAAAGTGGGATGGATTTTGTACCGCTTTTCGGTAGTGGCAGAGGAAGAAAGCGTGGGATCACCGACTTTGAGCAGGAAGAGTCTGAAAGGGAGGATAACCACTACCGTTCTCTCGAAGGGCTAAAAAAGCTGGGGGAGAATCCTGAAGACAGAGACTTGGAGTACGCGTCCGCTTCAGGGTCTGAGGGTGATTATGTTACTGCAGAGGGATGGGACAATAGGCAAAAAACAGTGGAGCTGGCCCGGAAAGTAGATGCAGCGCCAGGGAATGTCAGTGCATGGCTGGACTACGTAAATCATCAGGATACGTTACTTGCGTCTACTGGAAGAAGGACAACAATGGCAGAACGGAAGAGCACAGCGGAGGTGAAACTGGATATTCTGGGGAAGGCCTTGGAAAAATGTCCTGGTAACGAGGAGTTACTGGTGAAGTATATGGATATTGCTCAGGTGGTTTGGGACTCGCGGAAGATGATGACGAAATGGCAACAGATGCTGAAGGAGAACCCGACCGCCATTGGCCTATGGACAAAATACATCAATTTCCGGCAAACCGATTTCCTCAGTTTCACATACTCGGAGTGTGTGGGATGTTTTAGCGAATGCCTCGCCACGCTAAGGGGCGCTGCCGTGAAGGCCGTTGATAAAAGTGAGGATAAAGAAAAGATTGAGGAGATTATCTTACACGTTTTTCTCAGAACTGCGCTCTTGATGAAAGAGGCTGGATTTGTTGAGAATGCGATTGCTGCATTCCAGCTGATGATCGAACTAAATTTCTTTTCCCCACCTCAAATAACAGCTCCGGGGTCCCTCAGCGAGCATGAGGAGGTTCTCGAGCTACTGGATACTTTCTGGGATAGCGAGGTCTTGCGTGTTGGGGAGATGGGCGCTGAAGGGTGGCTTTCATTCGTGCAGTTAGGTGGCAAAGGAAAGGCTCCAGAAGCCGGGAAAGGAGCAGTTTCGCCGGATTCATTGGATACTCGCAACCCGTTTGGATCGTGGATAGCAGCAGAGGAAGGACGAATGGAGATCCCCAAGATGCCTTCTAGGACAATGGATGAAGTGGAGGAAGATGATCCTTATCGTGTTGTGCTATTCTCAGATCTAAGGGAATTTATGTTCTTTTTTGCGAGTGAAGCTGTTAAGCAGAAACTGATCGATGCTTTTTTGATATTTTCAGGCTTGAGGCCGCTCTATGAGGGGGTGCGCATGTCTTCAGGGGGGGCGGAAGCTACAGATATCTTCTTGAGAAATGAACTAGGACATACGACGGATGAGTGTCTTGGGAGGTGGTTCTGGCCCGAGAGCGAGGGGCATAATAATGAGTCGATAGGATGGGGGGGTATGGAGCCGGAGAAGAAAGCACTATTCGGGGAGAGGCCATTCCAATTTAGCTTGCGGAATTTCCCTCTGAGTGAGGAGATGCTGTTTGCTAAGTCTGAGTATTGGGTGTCAGCAATCGATGACCTAGGGGGCTTGAAGGGGGGAAATATCGAGTTTGTGGGAAATGTACTGAAGATGTTGGTCGCCCAACTGAGCGATGAGCAACTGGCATTGTATTTCCTGGCTTGGACATGGAAGAACCGTCCCTCTAGGTAAGAATGAAACCCTGTGGTTTCTCATCAATGGCTAATATCCGAGAAGTGTTAAAAAGGTAGCAAAAGGACTTTTGAAGAAGTTTCGTACTAGTTTGTTACTTTGGAATGGCTACGCTCAGATCGAATGGAGGGCTGGTAGTACCGACAGTGCAAGGAACATTTTCTCTACGGCACTAGGGATGAGTGCGGATTTTCCTGAAGCAACTCGCCAGGATTCAATATTTCTATGGAGGACCTGGGTGTGGGAGGAACTCATGCATGGTGATGTTTCGCGAGCGGTCCGTGTGCTTTTATCGATTGATACTGGGAGGCTATTGATAGATGGAGATGATGAGTTGAATTCACGTGGGCTTCCATCGGCCTTAGTGCTGAAGGCTCGAAGGGTGAGTGTGTCGACAAATTTAGTGAAAATTACTGACTTTTTCCACTTGGTAAAGCATTTGGAGGACTCAAAAGGGTTGATGCTTTCTCTCGGCCGTGTCAACCATGCAATCGCCTTTGTCGAAACGAGGGCCCTACTTGAGTACCTTGTTTCTAATCGAGAAGTGGCGGCATCGTTGCCAATATATGCCGACTTCCTTTCCGAGCTTGATAGACGCGGTCTGTGCGGTCCAAATTCGGCAGTTCATGAAAGGTGTTTGATGACAGAAGCGAGGTTACTATACTATCACTCAAGTACCTCACGACTATTCAAAATTAAGACCATGAGAGACTTTCTTAATAACTCTCTGCAAATGTTTCCGAATAATTCTGTTTTTTTGGAATTGTTCGTTCGGAACGAGGCAAAGACCAAAATAGAAAACAGGACCAGGATGCTCATGCGAGATGTAGTATTAAAGGAAGGGTCAGAGACAATCCTGGGATATGGCTTTGCTATATGGGCAGAAATGCGAATGATAGGCGCAGGCGGGCGTTACAATCCCCACGCTGTTCGAGCTTTGTTCGAACAGGCAGTGGAAACCGACAGGTTTGCTTTTAGTCCATCTCTTGCTAGGCAAATTCGTGCTAACATATGACACTAGGACAAAATATAATTTCGGTTTGTGGGCGATATACGTGGGGTTTGAAATCCAAGAGAGAGAATTGAAGAGGGCCAAAGAGGTGCTCTTCAGGGGTATTAGGAATTGTCCATGGTCGAAAGGTGTGCACCGCTATATGTTTGGTCTCACTGTTTTCACTAATCATTGAGTAGACTTACTTCTCTTGGCCTTTCAACGGTTACGCACAGTGTTGACCTATGAAGAGATGCGAAAGCTGCTTTCGATCGTTTCCTCAGAGAAGGAACTACGGGTTCACGACGCCACAGAGCTGGAGGATTATATTGACGGGTTGACGGACGAGCAGCGAAGCAAACTTGGGGGGACTGAAGCGGAGGGGCTTCGGTTTCTTCAATTGCCCAGTGATGCGTCAGATGGGGAGATGGGAGATTAATCTAGCCAATGATGGGAGGTTTCTGCTGATTCTGAATCACTATCAAAATTGAATAACCTAGTGGATAATAGCGAGTGTGCGGCGTATTCAATGCTCAAGGCCACTATGATCCGAGATGTTCCCATGGGATTCCTTTGTGTCTTTGTATCATACCTTCTTTGTACCTTCTAATACGTTCCTCGCGTGCTTGATTACTTTTCCATTGCTCTATCAATCTGGGACAGAGGATTCACTACTTACGATATGTGATATGAGGTTGTGACTGACAGAGTTAGATATGCAAGAGAATTAGTGGCTCTAATTTTCTGGCGCTGGGATTATGGCGGTAACCAGAAACAAGGTACCGATTATCGCAGGGGGTGCGCACCGTGATAGGCAATTGGGGCCTGAGTCCTAGGGTAATGTTTTTTCAAGTCTGTATCGTATTCTAATAGTAGGGTTAAAGGCCCTAATATGGCCCTAACCGCATCACTGATTCAATCCTGTGTTCACAGTGGCACTAATTCCTCTATGATCTCTGCGCTATAAAACGCACAGCCCAATCTTCCCCATCTTTGTTTCCAGTACCTCTTTCTTTGCCCCCCCCCACACATCTTCCTGGCTCTGATACGGCTATTTTCCACCAAAAGAAACTGTGGGCCTCTCCGTTCGAGCTTTTGATTCTTGATTGATTGCTCTTACCTTTGCTACCATCGCACCCAGAGCCTTGGACACTACAAATATGAGTACCAAGTCTATATTCGGCGAGTACTCAGACGGAGTAATCCGTGTTTCCCTTGCTGATATCGCCGAGAAGACAATTTATATACTTGCTAGTACCAAAAATCCAAATGTTAGAATAATTAAAGATTCGACCAAAACTGAAATCAATTGGGATAAGGAACACCGTCTTGCCTCTATTTACGGTAACCGGGAGAATGCGATAAAAGCCTATGATGATCTTATGGGATATATTAGGACCTTCACAGACGCCATTGTGGATGTCGTGGACTATACTCCTAGAGTCTCATCAACTATCTACGGTCCGGAGCTTGCGAGAGGGCTCTGTTTTTGTTTGCGCAAGCCCAACGGGGTACTTAAGACATCACCAAGTTGCAACCCACTGGATGCTGGGCAGAAGGAGGAGACAGAAAAAGGGTTCCGCACTTTTCAGTTGTACCCGGCTCATTTGAGTGCCCAGGAGAAAATCATAAGTCGAACCATCTCAAGTAGTTTGCGTTCTTCCCAAATTTCAGTGGGTGGAATGAGAGGATTTCTTATCGATGATATCACTACCATTTTAGATAAGTACAGAGAGAAGCTTCCTTCCAGCGATAGCGTTTACATCAAAGCGGAGGTATTTTTTAAGCTATTCCTTCTTTTTTCATTGGCCACTTGTTTTAATCAATTGAAATTCTGATGGTATTTTGTGGGTTAGGTGACACTCGGAAAGAATTTTTTTCTCGAACAAGACATTAAAAACTATAATCTCGCTACCCTTAAGCTTGATATCCATGATTTCTGTTTAATGCGTCTGGAGAACGAGATCAAAAGGGTTTTCCAGCCACGATGGATGGGGGAATGGATGGGTAAATTGGAGACAAACTTGTCAGTTTTGGGATATGAGATGTTGGGGACCCCCCAAACTGCTATGGAGATTTGCCTCCAGGAGGAGCGTAGCAATGGCCAATTTTATAACACCGTTTGGTTAGCTAGTCTCGTCCCCGGGGAAGAGCAAGAAGGTATGTTATCACTGGTCAGGTATCCCTTCATTTATAACATTATTCATAATGTCATGTGATTAAACTGTTTTTGTAGACCAAATGTTAAGGTTTCTCGAGTCCCGTATTCAGCTCAGATCGTGCTACAAGGCAGATATATTCAACGGAGGAGGGAAGCTCGACATGATATTTGAATCCACCATCCATAAGAACGAACGCCGGTCTGCCTGCAAGAATATTTCGCGCCTAGTGAGCAGCAAGATCTGTTACAGTCCGAGGTGGGGATTGATTTTGGGGAAAGGGGTGAAGGAAGAATACTTCCATTCTGCCGGTATTTTTTTTAAGAGGCATAAAAAACAAACAAAGACTAAGTGGGTTCGGAAAAGTATCATTGTTACTATTACAGAGGAGGTGGGAGGGGATGGAAGAACTTTTTGCGCAGTTAAGGTTTCAAGCAAGCATTTGGAAGGTCTCTTGAACAATAGATCTAAGGCAGCACCGTTTTCTGAGATTCTCAATGCCGTCGCGGAGTATCTAAATGCTTGTGATGAGATAGCTTCCCGGTTTCGACTCCTAGGAGGTGTATCTGGCCAGGATCCTGTCAGAGAGCCGTGTTCCTTCCAAGACCATGAAATTAATGAACGCTACCAACCGGAGGCCAGCCTCAAGAATTCCTCGACCGAGAGAAGTCAATTGACCGCGCAGGCTTTGGGGAGACGTCAGACCATCGACGACAGCCAGGAGGGAATGGAATGTGATATTGAACCAGAGTTTGGTTTAATGTCAGACAATATGAATGATGCTGTGGAGCTTGATCTCGCTGGAAGTCACATGCCACCTGTTGATTTCCCCCCACTTTTGCATAGGGCTGGGTCGGAAGAATTATGTGACATTATGGGGGCTCGGGACACTGCTTTGCTTGATTATCCAGCTCTTCTACCTGTTATCACTGGCGGTAGAAAGACAGCTACAACTAGCCCGGAAATTGGAAACACTCCTACCAAACCAGCATCGCACTCCAGCAGGGTAGGATTTCATGATTGGTTTGGTGAAACTAGTCTTGCAGATAATCCAACATCACACCTAACTCTTATCAATAATGGAGTTGAATTTGGTGCTGGCAGCGGGAAGCTGAGGGACTCTAGTGGAATTGAGGAGGCTGGAATGGAGAATTCTTTCAATAGTTTGAAGGCAGAGAGTCTTTTTGGAGGCGGACCTATGTCCATGTCTACAGAAAGTAGTGAGGACGCAGGACTAGTTACTAGTCACGAGGCAATTATCACCAAAGGTAGCTTCGCCGAAAATCTACTGACAGTAGAAGAACCTGGAGGGCCCAGCATTGAGTTTGTTAATAGCGGGGGTCTGGGTAGCGTTCAAGAGGAGAAGGAGCCTACTGGAACTATTCATAGTCAGTTGACCAATTCCCTTCAGAGTCAGCCGGAAGGTACTGCAGTTGCTGGATACCTTAAAGCTATTCTGTCCGGGAGGAGATTTGGTAGCCTCACGGATGCAGTAACTGCCGATTGGGATAGGCAAAGAGGCCACCTTTCCACCGGACATGGTGTCAAGAATGCTCAGGAAAATGCAAAATCAACTAGCATCCTTGATCACTCCAATGGAACCTCAATAGCTCGTACCCTTAACCAGCCCTCCGGCTGTTCCTCCTTAGATTTCGGGATTCCTATGAGTCTTGGTAAAGAACTCTGTGAGCTGGAGGTGGAAATAAGTGCTTTGAATGAGGCGACAGGGGTTATCTAGATGGGTCGGAAAACAGGAGAGCTGGATCCAAAAATCTCTTGGCAGTAGGGTTGTGGCTGTGGGAGGATGGAAGCTGGTTAACTGTTAGCGGGGGTGGGGGGTAGGCTCTTGGGGTTCTGGATAATACGGGATATGTTGTGTGCTAGATGCTTTTATTAATTTCTCGTGCTTCTATTTCCCAGATTTTTACTTTTCCCACTTCCCTTTCTCACCACCCCCATGCACCTTTCCCGCCAAATAAATCTAATAGGATCAAATTAGAACTTTGGGTTGGCAGTTTTGAAATTTTGTGTTGTAGCGTTATGTCCGGTTGTGATATCTTACTATCTTGGGATTCCAACCCATTATGATACTATCACGGGGCCTCTGCGGTATTCTAGCACTATGAGGTTCCTCTACATAATTGTGCCACGGTTGTGGCTCAACACAACTTTTTGTGACTTGATATTATGGCTCAACATAACAATGTGGCTTAATATGAAATTATAAGTTTAAGGTACAAAATACTCTAGTTTACATTTATTTTTCCCAACCTGACTTGTCTCCTAATTTGTGTAACAATAAGCTTAGATACTTTCTTCTTATAGATTTGAGTATTTTTTTTTTCTCTTGAATATAATTTCAGCTCATTAAGAAGAGGCTTCTGCTCTGCATGCAGCGCTTTTTTCAAGTTCTTTGCATTTTGTGCTTTCTGTTGCAGTTTTTCAGCCTTAGTTTCAACAATAATGGTATACTTAAGTTCAATGGCAAAGCTTCATTGAGCTGCCAAATTCTATTAGACTATCAAGCTCTATTGTAATACAAACTACTGTAAAACCATCAAACTTTTATTGTACTTAAAAGTACTAATAGCCTGTAAAACTATATTGAACTACAATGTTCAAGTTACATCAAGATGTAAAGTTACATTTAACCTTAAAGCTATATTAACCTTTAAGATTACATTTAACTTTAATGTCATATTATTTTGAAGTTGGATCATGAGTAAAGTGTGAAGTTTTATTGAGCCACAATATTCTGCTAAGCCACAATTTCGAGCCACAAAAAGTTGTGTTAAGCCACAACCGTGGCACGATTACATGCTGAATAGCACCATGAATACTATTCAAGTAGCTCTTACAGATTTTGCTGAAATTCAATAAACTCTGTGACCTTGTTTCCTTTCTTTTTTGGGGGGGAGGGAAGGACAGGGTAGGTAACTTAAGCTCTGGCTTGGAATTGTGCGTTCACTAGAAGAGGAGAGAAAAAAAAAAAAAGACTGTTATATCCATATCTCACGGTCAGCATATCGCTTGTAGTGTTAGGCCGCACAGGAGAAAAAGCGGCCCGCCAGCTCCATGTAATCCCCTGGTATTTTCACCAGGACTGGGAATCACCGAGTGATCGACAGTGAGGGACTTGGCTATGGGCGTGGGCTCTCTTGAGATCTCCTTTCGGTAGAATATCATACATGTGCAGCGACCCCATAACATCATACCCGACCGGATAGAGCCGCTTCTCAGCTCTGGCCTACTGATTGACTTATCTATTTACTTATTTATCGCCATTTCCTTGTACTCTGTTCTGGTGAAATACCTAGGCTGCAATGTTAATAACTAATGAAGCAGGATGTAAATTGGCATTCTTTCAGGGGTATTATGGGTCCGGTAAAGCACTTTCTGCGCGCTATGGTTTTGCTTTGTGCTGCTGTTTTGAGAAAGGGAAATACCAATTTATCGTGTTGGTAGGTGTGTTGGTAGGTAAGGTATCTGTAAATATTATTTGAACTAGTGGGGGTATTGTGGATCCTCGGTTGAGGATGGTGACGTTCTTTTCGGGCAATGGCAAACAGGTAAACGATGACCCACAATAGAGGATGGACCAATTCTCCGGTAACCTTGAAGTAGTAGTCTCTGTTAGCCTCACTGGGGGTTTATTGTTCTCACCTCTTTGGGTTTGATTACAATAATCGGTAGTAGGTCTCTAAGCAGATTGCAGAAAGGTCAAGAGTAGAGAGCAGATGAAAGTCACCAACGCTGGTTAGATGGAGATGATGGAAATTCACTAGTCGATGATCTCTCGGCCCTGGAACTGAAAACCTCTCAGAAACCCAGAGACTTTCTACTGCTCCTCGGAGGTATTCTTGTCTTCGTTCCCTCTCTCTCGGGGATCCCCTGAACTAGCTACATATAGGGGTAGTCCCCTTGCCCATAGTCTATCTGAGTGCTGACGACAATACCTCTTGGCTATATGCTGACAACACGTAACCACCACTCTCTGTTCATTCTCATACCTAACAGTATCATAGTCTCTAAGTTAGCGCTCTGCTTGTACTTCCGTCTGTCATCATGTCTCATCACTCGTACAAGTGACTACTAGTCCCTCATGGCCTTTTATTAAACAGTATCACCCGTAGCGCAGGTGGCTAATGTGAAGTATTATTCCTTAACAAAATAGTGCAGGATGTCATTGTATATGCAAAGTTCCTAAAGAAAATTATGTTGGGTTGTGCTCCGATAGATTGGAGGGCCGAGGGCAGGTTGTGTAGTGAATATAAGAATGACGCGGTCGGCTGATGTGGTAGGCCAGTAGCTTACAACTATTTGTTAAATCTATGAATGGGAGATTAACGGGGGACTGTGGCCCATCGCGTAGTTGATACATCAGACCCAAGGAACTCAAATTTTAACTTTGATACCGCATCTGTAGACGGATACTAGGGGGAACTAGGAAACAGAAACTATACACAAAGGTGACTTGTAGAGGAAAAGGAAAAGCGACCAGCCCCCAGATGCCCAGAAAAGGAGAATGTTTTGATGATTTTTATCATTGTTAATCACATCATTATAGATACGTCACGCCACCTCTAGCTATTCCCATACCAGCTAAAAGGTAACCCGGATGATAAGACATACCTGTCCGCAATATCCCGGGTTTAGTTTTACCGCACGAAATGAATGAACTTTTTATTTTATTTGAAAGAAGAACCCCCGCATGACCCCAGAAATGCCCAGATTAACGGTTGGATTTGGCGACACTATGGTAAAAATGTTAGTTTTGGGGGCGGGGGATGTAAGCGGGTCAAGAATTCCTACCGTTCTAGCTCGTCCTTCTTCTTGATGGCATAAGAGTTAGATGACCCCTTGGCAGCATTGATCAGCTCCTCGGCTAAGCATTCGGCAATGCTCTTGACATTCCTGAAGCTGGCCTCACGAGCACCAATGGTAAGAAGGGCGATAGCCTGGTTGACTCGACGAAGGGGAGAAACATCGACGGCCTGCCTGCGAACAGTACCGGCGGATCCGATACGGGTGGAGTCCTCACGGGGGCCGCAGTTGGCAATGGCATCGATTGCAACCTGGATGGGGTTCTGGTCCGTGGTGAGATGGATGATAGAGAAGGCGTGGTCGACGATGCGGACAGCCATGAGTTTCTTTCCATTGTTACGACCGTTCATCATTAGGGAGTTGGTAAGACGCTCGATGATTGGGCATTGAGCCTTGCGAAATCGCTTTACTGCATAACGGCCGGCAGAGTGGGAGAGATAGACGGGGGTACGGATACTCATGTAATCGCTAGAGTGAGTTGATATTTGATGTCAGCATCTAGTTCGCATATCCGTCTGCCTAATATTTTTGGTGCAGCTCTTGTTGCTTTCCCTTCTCTTCCAGCCAAGTATGGCCCCATTTGCGCTTTGCTCTATTCTTCCTTAAACATCCAAGCAAACATTCAGAAGGGTTTCCTACGTCAAAGAAATATCCCTAATCTCGACATCATCGTAGCTCCACTTATTGAACAATTTGGTGCTTCCAATCTCATCGGTAACTTCCCTGGGCAAAACGGAGTAATTGGCCGGGGCGACCTCGACTTCTCCGCTGTCAGACATGTTGATCGTCGTAGGGTGTTCTTGTTCTAAGTGTAGGAGTTAGCCTGTGGAGTGGGTGAGAAAAAGTAGGAAATTTTTGGGAAAGATGGATCAGAAGGCGTTCAAGGGAAGAATCAACATACTTTGGGTGAGCTATTCGTTAGTGGCAGCGGGGGGTTGTTCGCTCAGGTTGCCGTGCTGTGTAATTCGTAAAGTGTTATCGTCGTCAAACTAGAGAATTATTTCCTTGCGGCGGAACGTGTGTGGGACCACCAGGTGGGATGCACAATCTGATTAGATCTTAGTGACTGTTGTTTGTTAAGGGCCCGGCCCTTATCCTCCAACTTGAATTTCAATAGCCACTTTGCCCGAAAACCAAATGTAAAAAAAGACATAAATTTGGCTTAATATACCTGCAAATAGAATAAAATATATCATAGTAATAACATCTGCATAAGATCTAGGAATTTGATGTTTTTGAACATTTGTCAGCAGTTGTGTCGGATCGAGGCTATTTTCTTTCGCCTCCTTCCTCTTCTGCCATGCCCATCGCATCTTTCTTGTCTCGAACACCCACGATATCAGCGTTTTGATCATCCACAGCCTTACGCCCTTCTAACAGTCATAGGGATATCCTATTTTCTCCTTCGACAACTCTGTTCACTTTTGGTTTCTGCCGGACTGATATTCTATCCGAATATTCATAAGAAAGGGTTCGAATCTCATCGCTTCCTCCCTCTGCCGCGCTCGCACGGCGAAATAACAATATCCTAACAACTTATACCCCCGCTTACAGTGAATAAGCTCCCCATACCCAGCGTTTCTCCCAAAGTTTCGAGCAGAACAAAGAAAAAAAGAAAATATAAAAAAAAGGCAAGATGTCTGGTCTAGACGTAGAAGCCCTTCTCGAAGCCTCCGAAGGGACTAAGCCAAGACAGCAACCTGATCGTCACGATAGTGCTGCTTCTACTCCGAGGCCCGACCGCAACGGCGGCGGGAGCGTTAAATCTTCTTCTTCTAGAAGGGACCGAGACGGCGAACGAGACAGAGACCGCGATAGAGACGACAGAAGCCCGCGTAGTGAACGCCATCGTGAACGCAGGAGAAGCAGAAGCAGGGATAGCGATAGGTAAGTTTCCGTGCCCCTTCGAATCTTTTCGCCTCGGTCGGACCCAGAAGTTGCTGACATTATTTCAAGACGCCGTTTAGGTCGTAGAGATTCCTACTATGATGGTGATGAATACTATGAGTCTTCATCTCGATACAGCAGGCACCGCTCCTGCGAAAGGGATGATGACAGGTATTACTCTGGACGCGGTCGAGATCGCAGATATAGGGATTACTACGACGAGCGTGACAGAGATGATTATTACAGAGGAGATAGGCGTGACCGTGATCGAAGATCAAGGAGTCCAAGGAGGCGAGGTGGCCGAGGAAGGACTAGGTAAGTTTGATTAGACTATCCTATGGGAAGGGGTTCGTGCTAATGTTAATAGGTCTCGCTCTCCTCAGTTGACTGAAGATGAACGCGATCGTCGTACTGTCTTTGTCCAACAGTTGGCTGCAAGGCTCAGGACCAAGGAACTGATTACATTCTTTGAGAAGGTTGGCCCAGTTAAAGAAGCCCAAATCGTTAAAGATCGTGTTAGTGGTAGATCTAAAGGGTGAGTTTCTTCCTGGGTAAGATTGGGAGCTCAGCTAACGCTTAAAAAATAGTGTGGGATATGTCGAATTCAAAGATGAGGCCTCAGTGCCCAAAGCAATTCAGTTGACAGGACAGAAGCTCCTCGGAATTCCGATCATCGCACAGCTTACAGAGGCAGAGAAGAACCGCCAAGCCCGCGTTAGCGCCGCTGAGGCAACGACTACGAATCAAATTCCTTTTCATAGGCTTTATGTCGGAAATATTCACTTTAGTATCACCGAGAGCGATTTACAAAACGTATTCGAGCCATTTGGGGAACTTGAGTTCGTTCAGTTGCAGAAGGAGGAGGGAGGCAGGAGTAGAGGCTATGGTTTTGTCCAGTAAGTTGCATGACCATGGCATTTCTCAATAATGCGCTAACAGCTCTTTTTTAGGTATCGTGATCCCAATCAAGCTCGCGAAGCTTTGGAGAAGATGAACGGTTTTGACCTTGCTGGCCGCCCTATTCGTGTCGGTCTTGGCAATGACAAGTTCACTCCCGAATCTACTGCTCAGATGCTCCAGCGATTTTCTGGTTACCAGGGATTTCAGGGATCTGCATTTGATTCCCGTGGCCGTGGGGGCAATGACCGGGTTGGCCGTGCTGACGATAAAGCTAGTGGAGCTGGCGCTAGTGCCCTTGATGATACCGATGTCGCTGGGGTAAACTTCAATAATTATAGTAGGGACTTGCTCATGAGGAAATTGGCGAGACAGGATGAACCAGCACCTACCGACAAGAAAACGAAATCACCGGCCGCTTCGAACGGCAAAGACTTGCCCTTAAGACAAAAGTTACCGGAGAAGGTTACTAAAACTCTCCCTCTCGATGTACCTATGGCGAGTAGATGTGTCGTATTAAAAAACATGTTTGATCCGGCAGAGTAAGTCTGGGCTCTGGAGCTCCATTTCATGTTTAGTCGTTTAGTAGCTAATACTAGTTGCGTGCCTATAGAGAAACTGGTGACGCCTGGATTAAAGATCTGGAAGATGACGTTAAAACAGAATGCGAGAACAAGTATGGACATGTCGTTCACATTGCCTTGGACCCCAACAGTCAAGGAGAAATTTACATCAAGTTCGAAAAGGTACAGGGAGGCGAAAAAGCGATCCAAGGCTTGAACGGCAGGTTCTTCGGTGGCAGGAGGATATCAGCAAGTCCTGTTGTCGATGCTGTATACGCCAGCTTGTTTGGAAGATCCAACAGTAAAACCATTTAATTGATGTGCGCCTATATTGGAAGTTGGGCTGACGGTACGTTGTGTGCTGAATTTCTCTCTTCTCTCGAAGTGGCAAATCATCCATTATTCCCTCATTTCATTTTTTATGGCTTTTAAAACCTTGGTTTTCTTTTTGTAGTATGGGTTTCCCTTATATACTTGCCTGTTAACTTTTTTCACCTGCGTTGCGGATATAAGTTCGTTGCTGTTTATAAGGTCCTGGAAATTAATAATCGAAATATCGTAAATTCGGTAGTTTTCTGCCTTGTTACACTACACGCTCGCGATATTCTTTTAGTGATGGAAAGTTAAAATATTGACTTTTGGGAGACTTGCGATATATTGAGGTGAGACGCCCTCGCTGACTCGATACAGAAACATTGAACCTACGAGTACGGTAGGTTTTGGGGGCTCTAAGTTAACCACTCGAGCACATGTGCCTCGGCACAGATTAAGTTCTATTCGTGGGTGAGTGGCAATGGTGACAACATGGCCCGCCCACTAGACTAATCTTGCTGTACTTATAAACCGATAAACAGAAGCAGCTATCGGTACCGGTAGGCTGCACCGTAAAGTTGAAGGACTTGCCGTAACGTGGCAGAAGGAGTGAATCGTTTTGTTTGAATAGCGCTCGAGATTGTATTTATACCATTTTGTATAATATCGTATAATACCGTATAAAAACCGTATTTTATTTTTAAAAACGTATTTTATTCCGAGTTTCAAAATAGGTATAAAATATTTTATCCAAGATACTGTAGCACAGTTATGTAGAAAAAATAGAAATGCTACTTTCAATTGTAATGTAATAATACAAGGTTTCAAATATAAGATTGTTGCTAGCTACTACTATGCACAATTGTTATACCTTGCCCTCTTTGATCCTCTTGCCTGACTTTCAAGTGATTCACTATTGTCAGAATGTTCAAAAGGATTGTCGGTAGCAGATTCCCCTTCCTGGTGTATTTCATGTCCAGTCTCTTCCCCATTTCCATCTTCCTCTACGTTAGCAAGAATGATAGTAGTAAATTAGGAAATTAAAAAGGGTATTTCTATTAAAAGAGATTATGATTACAATACCTTCATCACTTTCAGCCTCAATTGTGTCCTGGAGTTCCACAATAACATCTTCAAGCTGAATTTCCGCCTTGCCAGAGAGCTCTTGCCACTGGTGTGGTTCATCAGCCTTGTGGTCCAAAACACGACGGTTGAGATAGATATAGGTAAGCTTATCTACTCGAGTAGAGTCAAGCCTATTGTGGACCTTGTTGTGAATCAGATTCTGAGCAGAAAAGGAGCACTCGCTAATGACTGAATTGGCTGTGGTATGAAATAATCTAGTCGCTAGTAGGGAAAGTTCTGGAGCAAAGGTATGTTGGGCATGCCAGAAAGTAGTGGGGCTAGTGATATTCCATGCAAGATTGTAAGAACCAAATGGCCTATCCTTGGCTCAGCACATGTAATATTGCTCCTGGATACGGTTCTGGCTGGGAGGGTCAGGGTATACATTCCAAAGGTATTCAATAACTATGTTTTGCTGCTCAACAGTTGTGGCTACCCCAATATTCGTTGGTGTAAGAAAGTAGGTTGTTCAATGTAGAGCTAAGACTTGACGCTCTATTCTCTTCTCAAGATTTCCTGTACAGGAGCATGGGTGTCGGCGATGTGCTGGAGGTGGCTGCAAATTGCAAGCCAGCGAGATACAACTAGTCCAAGATGTGCATTGGCAGATTCTGATTGAACTTAGACCTTGTGGATAGGAAGAATGAGATCCTGGAGCTCTTAGACATTGTTCCAGAAATCACGTGACGAGATTAACTTCTTAACTTCATGATCGAGTTGAATACGATCATCAAGTATATAGCACTTAAAGGCATCCTTATTCTTGTAAACAGATTCAATAGCACATGCTTGAGTGCCCCAACAGGTAATGACGGCAAGGATCAAGGCACTAGTTTTCCCATAGCAGGCTTTTTGTTTCTCCCGAAGAATTGATAGTTGAAGAGGAGACCGACGAAAGGTATTGATAACCAACATGGTCTTGGATTGGATTACCTTATAGTAAAGAAGTCCAAGGAGATCCTTGATGAGAAGTTGGAGGCCGTGGAAGTCACAGGGAACAAAGAGTGCCTTGGAGAGTTGCAACCTTTCGTTAGCTGCAAGGATTCTCCATAGAAGAAGCATAGTAGAACAAGTATCAGTAGCAAAGCTGTTGATTCATTTCCAATCGCCTTTCACAAGGATGCCAAGCTTTGCCATAAGCCATGAAGCCAGATTCTCTGCAGTAAACTGCATGGATCCTGCATTCTCTGAGCAGTAATGGAATGTTCCACAGTCAGTATTAATAGAGATGTTGACAATCCGATACTTGGATTCATTTTCACTTTCGTCGGTAATGATGTTAAGATAGTAGGTCGATTGAATCACTTGGTCGACGTCCAGCTTAACCAGAAGATATGTCTGATCAAGTAAAGTAGTATGTAAGAGGAATGGACTTGGCGGCTTATAGGCAGGTGAAATCTTTTGAAATAGGGCGACAAAGTATGGCTATTGAGTGACATTGAATGGCAGATTGTTCATATATACAGCTAAGGTGAATGAGAGATCAGCATCATACTTTTCAGTAGGTGATAGGCATTGGACTTGGCTAGTAATGCGTGTTTGACTAGTAGCTAGGTTTGATGTTCCAATGCTTGCCTTCCCTTCTAGGCTCATCTGCTTCTGATATTTGATACAGGTGGATAAATGCTCACGTTGACAGGTTGGACTTTTGGCAAAGGTCTTTCCACATGCGATACACTAAACTAATTCAAGCTATCTCACCTTTAGTAAATTAAAATTGTCATTTTGTCAAATGGAAAGAATGGTTACCTTTTTTCCACTCTCAGGAGGAATGGTCTCGAAAGCACTATGTAGCTGGGGATCCTTTGTACGGCCCATGTTCGCAAAGTTTGTGTTGGTATTCTGTGGAGTTTGTATCAAGTGATAATGGTATTTCTTAAGTACTGGAATAGCTGATAGGGGGAAAAATTCTCTGCCAAACTCTTAGAGTAAAATCTTATTTTACAACTAATTGTAATTGATTTAGGGTTTAAGGTTTAGGATTTAGGTTCAAATATTTTAGGGCACGTATGTATTGTATGTATGGTATAAAATTTATTGTCAAAAATACCGTATTTTATAATAATATACGTATTTTATAAAACCCTATGATTGAGCCACATTTGCCTGGACCGCATTTGTCCCACCGATTGCTGGCATGTTTCTGTTCTCTCCTGAATAATAGCATCGATGGCTAAGATTTTACCCCATACATGAGGGGTGGGAGCTGCCATTGCTGTATCGCAATAGTGTATCGGGGGTTAAAGCCTATTATCTAGTTTATCCGTATAATATTATAAAGTTTAGAGTTCGTCTTCTGAGTGTGCACATGTATAATACCTATCTGTCGCGTAGAAGCCTTTTTTTACATATTATCATACCAACTTTTTTTTGTTGGCCTTGGAACTAGCAATTGATGAAAATCGCCCTGGGCAATCTTCCTTTCCACAAACAAAAATATCTCGGCATATTGTTTCTTTGATGGTCGTGGTTTGCCCTTTCTTTGACGGATGAGGTGTGTGTGTGTGTGTATCGTACGCGGTTGTTGGGGGGGTTGGATCACCAGATATGATGCGGTCGACAAAAGTCCTCGTGGTCTACCGATATACGTTAACCAATACCAGATACTTCTTTTGCGCTGTAGATCACGTCGAAATGCGAGATAAACCGCATTATAGCAGTCATGTGCTGTTGTAAGAGACCCATTCACCTTCCGTCATGGTATTCCCTCCAATTGCGTATGCAACCTGCGTAAGGATGCGGATGAAAGGCCTGCGGCCAGGCAACGTTTAAGGGGCCCGGGGAGCCAGGCCTTGTACTATCAGGGGCGGCGAAAACCCGCTCATTCCCGAAGGGTACCGTGAGATCTCGTGGAATCCATTATCTCCCGCTGCTCACAATCTCAGTGACTAGGCCTTGTACGGTATGTAACCTTGGAGGATAAGCGCAGTCTTGCACCAGAAGCGAGATTTGACAGATCCCACGATACCGCATTTAGTAGCCGCTATTCCTTCCCAAGCTAGCGCTTCGTCAGAGTGGAGATAGTGGATTTCATAAGATTTTACGGTATATTAGTACTAGAAGGTCACCGCCATCAGCGATCGCAGTTGGCCGCGAAATTTATCTGCCTGGGGGGCGGCGGGGGGTCGGGCAATGACCTCATGTACCTAAGCCCGACCCTTGTTCTCTTCGGGCGTTTGCCAATGTGCCCGTCATGCCAAAGCATTGACGCATGTAAATTATCACTAGAAGGGGAGATAGTCGGGTTGTAAATGAGCACATATATGAATCTTGTTCCGTCATGGATTGTGATTCGCTCCTTTTTGGGCTACGTATTCTGTATTATAGCCGTTTTCAGAGCCGCGCTCGGAGCCATTGTTGGACATTGGTACACGGCTGCGCCCCGAACCACGGAGCGTCCGTTTGATGCTCTTGGGAATTGCTCCACCCTGTTTGACAAGGGGTTTTCATATAGTATTAGGGATTGGGCGGTCCGTAGGGCGCCCATGCGGGTACCAGGTGCGGGGAGCCGGCCTAGTTCTCCTCCTCCCCGCCACCCCCCCCACCTCACTTCTGATTGCCTGCTCATCGCTCTCATCGATCTCATCGTTTTCATCGTTTACTTGGTCATAATCATCGGCTATCTTTCAATTCTCGTTACCGAAGCCATCGTACAGTCGGGAGGTTGGGGATATACTTACATTATCTCTCCAAATCAGTTCTTTGCGTATTCTTAGTCTTAAAGAATGCCGATTGAGAGTAAGCTCCTTCAAAGTCATTTCCAATTCATGCTTCTGAAACATGGTTAAATATTTCTAGTAATTGGGCAGGATGTGGCTGCCTCCAGGAGGAAGCTTGGAAAAAGGAGTGCCGTAAGTCGTGTCCACCTTTCCGTTTCCCCGCCGACAAGTGGCTGCAGGGAGGCTTCATTCTCTTGTCTCTACCTGTAGTCATCCATTGACGGCAGCTGACTTGAAGGACCATGGATAGTCCAGAGCGGCCACCCATGCAGGTTCAGGCCGTGGTGGGAAAAGAAATCGTCAACAAAGGCCACCCGCGCTGAGCTCGCAGCGAGAGTATCCCCCTTTGGTGCGCAAAATGGAACATTCCATCACTAGGAGGGCTATGGAGCTGACTCAACTCTCTC